GCTCTCCCAGTGGGCTTGACTTGTTTAAAAGATGATAGAGATAAGAAAATGACTAGCTGTATGTGGGAATAGTTTTGAATAATGAAGGGAAATTTAAAAGTGGTATTCAAGAGGATTCTACACATGTATCTTTCCCTCAGATATGGCTCTGCTATCTTAATATTTTTCTACCATTACAAATTTGATTTTTGAACATCAACAAAACAAAGTGAAAATACTTTATTGTTTACATAGTTAGTGTACTATTTTTGTAACCTATCAGAGGAAAGGGTATACAGCTGAGGATTTGGCTCTGCAGTTTAAGCTGTACATATCCATGAGTGTGGGGCTGAGTCTCTTGGAGCCATTGTCTTCTCAGTAATGGTGCTCTCACCTTGAGTTGGAGACAGAGGTGAACTTCACATGAGTTAATTTCGTTCAGTGGTGGTGAAGGTGATGTAGCAGCATCTGTTTCTTTTTTTTTTTTTTTTGAAGATTTATTTATTTATTGGAAAGTCAGATATACAGAGAGGAGGAGAGACAGAGAGGAAGATCTTCCATCCGATGATTTATACCCCAAGTGAGTGCAATTGATGCTATGCCGATCCAAAGCCAGGATCCAGGAACTTCCTCCAGCTATCCCAAGCGGGTGCAGGGTCCCAAGGCTTTGGACCATCCTTGACTGCTTTCCCAGGCCACAAGGAGGGAGCTGGATGGGAAGTGGAGCTGCCAGGACTAGAACTGGTGCCCATATGGGATCCCGGTGCGTTCAAGGCGAGGACTTTAGCTGCTAGGCCACGCCGCCGGGCCCAGCATCTGTTTCTTCATCATTGCTGGACCAGATAGGACCTCCCTCATTCTTGTAATTGGAACAGTATTACCAATTCACATGGTTGTTGAGAGAAGAAAATGACACAATTAGGCAGCATTTTGCAAATCCTTAACTGACTGCATAGCTATAAAGTATTATCACTGCTTATAATTTTGTGTCCTTCATTCTTAAACTCAACAAGCACTGTTTACTCCTGGGAAGCCTGTGAAGACGAGGTCTTTGGCTCTGAGAACTCAGTGATGTCCAGGTTTGGTGTGATGGGAGTGATGATCTCAGGTGTCGGTGAGGCAGTGAACAGGGCTTTGGGTCACCTGAGGAGGTTGGAAGAGGGGTGCTGTGTGTTTCACTCCTTGGAGACATGGCTGAGAGCCTCTTAGCAGTGCGTGGGGAAAGACATCAGCCGTGACAGAGGAAATAAGAACAGTTTTTTGGAACATGGTTCTGGCTCTAAGTAATGATTATTCAGCCCATCTTTGACTTCAGATTATTGATTATTCCTCCCCATTTCCATTCGTTACTTGGGGCTGGTGCCTCTGTTTGGGGATCTACCTTCCATTGCATCTAGAATGTTCCATGGTGGCATTCCTTAGCGACCACCAACTCTGGATGTTTTTCTCTTTTCTCCTCCTCCCATCTCCCCTTCCCTCCATCCCTTTCCATTTGCCTTTTTTTCTCTCTGCCTCTCTCATTTACCCTCCTAAAACACTTTGTCAACAAAACCTTTAGCACCTTTTATCATATTCTGCCTTCACTGAACTACAAAATCCTCAAAACAGATTTCATTTTTGTATCTGGGAAACTCCTCAAACTGCTGAATTTAAATCTGAGCTCACTAACTTATTATATGGCCCTGAATCAGGTACTGAATCTTTTTGGGCCTCATTTGACTCATCTGAAAAGTGGTTTCCAGAGGAGCCACACTGCAGGATTCCTAAGATATAGTACCTGGCATCTAACAAGGCCTTGCTACCTGTTGGCTTTTAGGATCCTAAACACACTGGACCACTGCTTTCTGAATCACCTAGAATTTGGGTCCACTGAAATTTATCCGACAGGGCCAGCTTGAGGAGGAGGAGGCCTGAGATTCAGAGTTGCCTGACGGAGGGGCCTGAAGGATGCATGCAGGTTGGTCTGCTCCAGGCCCAGCATCTCTGGCAAAAAGAAGTGACCAGAGACCAACAGGGTCATTACTAGTTTCTCTTGTCCTTTGCTTTTCAGAATTGTTCCTGGGAGCACTTTGAGAAAACAGGCTTATGATGATGACTGCTTGGGTTACTTACTCTGCTTAACTCCTCGTACCTGTTGACCCCAAACCATATTGGATTAAAAACCTCAAGGGGAGACAGGAAATGCCAACATTCAGTTGTGGGGAAGGGAGAGGAGCGGTGAAGGAGGGGAGGGCAGGACAGGAATCAGCAAGTGGGGAAAGAGGAGGCAGATTCAGAAGACGTCGAGAAGATGACTGTGGAGAAGACAGGTAAAGGTGTAGAAAGTGAGAAGGTACAAGTCCTGGGTTCGCAGAGTACACTAAAACTGGGCCAGCCAGCCTAGATCCTGTGGGGATTATGTGGGAATAATTTAAAAAGCTCACAAAACACCCGAGTCAAAAAACAGAGTCAAAACCAGAATTTTTTAGGTGCAAAACATTTTTGAAACCCATCCATAGTTGCTCCATGATATGAATTTTAATCAACTCTTTGAAAACTTCTTGTGTGCGTGAATTTCTTTCTTTATTTTGCACCAAAATAGACTTGTCTCCATACCTTTTGAAGTTCTCTCCTGTGTGGAGGGAGTCCTGCCACCAGGTGGCAGTGGCGCCCCAGTCACATGCTCTACCAGGTGGCAGTGGCGCCCCAGTCACATGCTCTACTGTGGTGGACCCAACTCCCTTTTCCTGTTGACCAAAGGAAGCGTGTTCATGCACTGAGCTGAGTTACTAAGCAGTATCAGGGGTCATTCACCCCAAGGGAGCCTTGAAGAGACAGCAGTGCTGGATACCAATAGGCATCTTTCTCTGTGTGCCATTACTATTTTTCAATCACAGGTCATTCAAATTAGGAAGTTCTTGATCTTTTGAGGCTGAAAGGAAGAGAGTCATAGACCCACAGCACACTAAACTGTGATATCTTATGTCTTTATGCATTGAGATGCAAATGTGGAAGTAGGCTTAAAGTCAATTTTCAAAAAAAAAATTGTTTTTCTGGATAGGTAGCCTTTAACTCAAGTGCGACACATGCATTTTGACATGTCCTCTCTAAGGGTTTGCTCGGTTATGATTCCGACATGTCAGAAAATTCCTGCCTTGACAAGTGGCTTTTTTTGTTTGGAGCTGTTAGGGGCCTTGACAGAATGCAAACCCATGTATTCCTTTTGGGGCTGTCACTGAGGTACTTTTCAGCTCTGTTTTATGCTCATTTAGACAAACTAGACATGCACACTCACATAGCCTATTTTGGGGTTGTAAGTTTAAGAAAATGAAATGAGTGGATTGATTCTAAGTTTAACCTTGAGGATTGGAGAATGAGCCAATTTTTAATATAAAAAAAGGCAAAACATCTACATTTCTGGACACGGTTGTACATTTAGACATAGAAAATTGTTACATTACTATCTCAAAAGAAAGTGCTGATATTTAAGTAAATTGTTTTCAAAACTTCAAAACCCTTCAGCATTTCAAAGTGAAATTTACTATATATAAATTAAAATTTGAAACTTGAGATAAAATAGACAAGCGAGTTACCAATATAGAAAGGCACCTAATTCTGAAACTGAATTACGACAGATAATTCCGAAGCTCACAGTGAATCCTCAAAATAGAATCATTTATCTCTCGCAAAGATAAACTATCCAGTGTATGAATTCTTTCCCCATCTTTTTACTATGTGTGCTCTTCTGTTTTGCTCTTTTGCTCAGCCTCCAGTTTATATTCTCTATTCTTTTGATTCCCCGATCATCTTTTTGTCTTATTGCTTTGAGTTTTGTAGTTTGCTTTCATTTTAAAAATTTCTTCTTTTTGTTTTTAACTTAGTTCATTCCCCCCTCCCCCACTTATTTACCTGCCCCATGATTTTACCTGATTATACCAAGTCACTAAAACATGTGCCGTGGGTGCAGGAGTCTAGGTACTTGGGCCATCTTCTGGTGCTTTCCCAGGAACACTAACAGGGAGCTGGCGCAGAAGTGGAACATTCAAGACCTGAACTAGTGTCCAAATGGGTGCCAGCATCCCAAGTAGTGGCTTAACCACTATAAAACACCAGCTCCTATTGGAAAGATTTCTTCTCATTTGTCTTTTTCATTTAAAACATTTTTTTTAATTTAAAAGGATTTCATGCGTCTTATAAATTCCAAGAAGACAACCACGCTTCCTTTGCTACCCTGTAGGATCTTCTCCCTTCTTAATCAGTTTTTGCAAAGACAGTTTTGATCCCCTCTGTTTACAGGCTTAACTCACCACTATTTATACTGTTCAACTAGTGAAACATAGGAATAACACAGTTTCACTGGAGTGTAAACATGTACTAAAAAAAGACGGTCATATTCTATAGTGACCATTATTACATATTTTGGGTATTTTATATTATCTGCCATGTATCAGAGATAATGTATGATTTGTGTTTTTGAAACTGCTTGTTTCACTTATTTCATAATATTTCCAGTTGTATTCATTTTGTTACAAAACACAGGGTTTCATTCTTTGTGACAGTTGAGTTATAGTCAATAGTACCCATAAATTAGATTGTCTTTAGCTGGTCATCAACTGATGGACGTCTGGTTTGATTCCATACTCTAATTGTGAATTGAACTACAATACACATGGGGGTATAGATCACTCTCTCATGCTGATTTCATTTTGTTTGGGTAAATTGGTCATTCTCAAAGCCAGCACATAGGTGTTTTATGTGTCTTTTGAAAAGGCAAGTCAAATGGGTATTCATTTATGAGATATTCCCTGTCTTTCTGTATCGTGACTGTCAAGAGATGTGAAAATAGGAACAGATCTGAAGGACAAACATAATGAGGCGTTTGACATAGAGGTAGTTGAGGATCACCTTTCTTTAACCTGTTTTAAGGCTCTTTTGCCTTATCAACACTGCAGGGGTGAGGTAGCTTGGAAGCCTTCCAGCCAGTCTTCCTAAGTATTCTTTTGTCATGATTTTTTTTTTTTTTTTTTTTTTTTTTACAATAGGCTGATTTGCTTCTTCTATCAAGTAGTGAGCCACATGGTCTCTGTTATATTGAAACTGCTGAGCTTGATGGGTAAGTAATAGTTTAATCTGTTAGATTGGGTTTCAGTTGATCTAAATGTGATATCTTTAGAAACATGAATTAAACTTCATTATTTTTTGAAAGACAAAAACAGATCAAATTGCAAAATCTGTCTTTAATGATTTTGTAATTTTGAAGTTACTTTGGAATCTGTTTAATTTTCTTTCAAAACATTGAGTTAAACATGTATAAAAAGTAATTTTGCACAGGATCACTGACCCAGTGAGAATCCCTAGCAGCTTTAGTTTGTTCTAATTTCCAGTGATTTTTTTCTTCTCTAAGGTAACTGAGAGGGGTGGAGATAAGACATTCTGAGGAAGGAAGGGAGGAAGGATGTTACCTTAAAAGGCAACGTTTGGAACCGTGTCAAGGAAAGACTTAGAAGAAAACTGGGCAATGATGCAATTTTGACACTGATGTTAATTTAGAATGTGTTTTTAAATTGCATAGCATTTCTGTTTCAGAGAGCCCAACTGCCTACATTTTAGCATGACTATTCTGTTCCTTTAATGGGCTTTATCATTTAATGCTAATGTAAGTATTATAAAAGTCCTATTGTTTAGATAATAAAACAGTACTTCGATAGAGTAGGTGATTTTCTCAAAGTTATTAAATGTGAAGCCAGGCCTCAAACCTGAATTCTTGGCTTTAACCATTGCCTCCCAAATCATTCCCATATTGAGCTACCCAAATAGTTTGGCCTGTGTGATCCTATCTCTGGTTTGGGCATAGCAGTGTTAGACAAGACAGATAAAACGGTATTGAGATGAAAACTTATAGCACTAAATGCCTCTACTTGAAGAACAAAACAAAACTAAACTAAATCAATAATCTAATTTTTCGCATTCATAATCTAGAAAACAGCAAAAATAAACAAAAATCAAGCAGAATAAAAGAGTACAAATTAGGAGATAAGTCAATGAATTTGATAGCAAGAAGAATAAAGAAAATGGTGAGATGGGGTTAATTGTTTGAAAACTCAATGCAGTTGACATGCCTTTGGGAAGCCTGAAAGAGAGAAACAAATGAGCAATATTGCAAATGAAGCAGAGTAATTCACTAATGAATCAGAGACTATCAGAAGGGTAATAAGGAAAAAAATACAAGCAACTCTGCACACCAAAAATTGACATTTCAGATGAAATTGGTGATAATCCATATGAAATTCCTAGAAAAATACAAAATATACAGTCAACATGAGACAGGTAACTTGAGTGGTTCTATAATTATTAAGGAAATTGAATTTAAACATAAACATTTCAAGCAGTAAAAATGTTTGCAAAACAAAAGTTTGAGGACTTGAGCTAGTCAAAACATTCTCAGATTTTGCTCAAAAAAATTGATCCTTTAAAAAGCTGATAAACTAGACTCATCAAAGTAAAAAGTTTTGCTCCACAGCAGATCTTCTCAGGAACATTAGAGATAAATTGTGGATTGGGAGAAACTATTTGCAAGCACATATCTGATGTTAACTTTGAAAATAATTTTGTCTTGAATATAAAAAAACATTTTTACAATTTTACAGCAGAAGCAAAGCATACAGACAGAAAATGGGCAAATGATATGAACAGTCATTTCACCCAAGGGAATATACTAATGGAAAACAAGCACCTAAAAAGATCTTCAATATCATTAGCCTTAGGAACATTAAAATTAGAAGCACAATGAGAAATCATTTATGTGCATACTTATCAGAATGGCTAAAAAATAATGACAAATCTAACTGCTAGAAAACATGGCAATACAGGATTACTCTTATATTAGTATTGAGAATGTAAAATCTTATGGACACATTGGAAATCTGGCAACTTCTGAAAAACTAAACTGAACCAATACACACATAGTAAATTTGATTTATTTTATCCCAGAGGAATGAAGATTTACAAAAGCTCTCTAAGAAATCTGAACAAGAATATTTATAGTAGCTTTAGTAACAATGTCTGAGAATGGGAAGCAGCTTATATATCCTTCAGTGGTTGTGTGTGGTTGAACAGACTGGTACATCGTAGAATACTACTCAGCAACAAAAAGGAATGAGCTATTGATACATAAGCAACCTGCTCAAATCTTGAGAGTATCATGCTTAATAAAAGGTCCATCCCAAATGGTGTATGAGTCCAATTTCATACAATCCTTGAAAAGACGAAGTGATTAAAAACAGACGAGATTGATATTTTCCAAATATTAAAGATGAGATGGGGAAGTGGGTGTGGCTATGTATTCTGTCTCCAGATTGGGTCATTGTCAATATGTTGGTAGTCATGTCCTCCTACTATTTTGCAAGACATCAAAAGGAATATATGATCTTTCTGTATTACACTGAAAGTTACTTTGAAGAGTATCAGGACACCCAGCAGACTAAGAAAGGTTATGGGAAATACCGAGGTATTCATCAGGGGTCAAGAAAAATATATTTCGTAGGATCAACAGGGTCTTCGTGTGATTATTATCCTTTTAGTTTTCACATTGGAAGGTAGGAGATGCTGGAGTGAATCCTGAGGAAATAACTTGAAATAATGAATGATGCTTTTTGATGAATGACATGCTGTAGGTGAAAGAGCCAGGGCTGTCTGGTTTGGTTGATGAGACAGGCTTTATCAGATACGTGAAGTGCTCCAATGGATGAGCAGAATGGTTCTTGAGCTGCTGCACCACTGATCTCTCTTGTCTGTGAGTCTGAGTTCTGTTCCTGACTTATCTAAGAAGTTTCTCTAGTCCAATTCCTACTCATCTCATCTCCTAGGAATGGGCAGATACTAATTGATGAGATTGCTTTTAGATAAACAAAGTGTAACTATGCATTCAACTTTGTCCTAAAGTGATTTCTCCAATGGCCATTCCTTGAGATGGGTTTAATTGTTTTAATATTATGCTGAAACTCATTTATAAAAGTTGCATTGATATCCCTTCAGGGTATCTGCTTCTCTGCTCTCTAAACTCAGTTATTCCCTGGGTTGGCATGTAATCCCATATATGATATTACCTGGTTTTTTTCCTACTTGTTTCCTTCAAGAATATAGTAAGTCTTCCTTGACCAGCACTGAATATCCTGGGCATTATAATACATGCTGAATTGGTGTTTGTTGATTGATTGAATCCACTACAAAACATTTATGCTGATGACAGGAGTCTTGACAGATTGTTTTTAATTTATAGAAGAAGGAAATTAGGTTGAACTCAGTGAGAAAACTGGGCTATAAATCCTTAAGCACAAGGCAGGCATGATGGTTTTAGAATCTTCCTTGCTGGCTGTCCCATGAACGCCAGATGGCCATCTGTACTATGTGGGTGTCATTCTGCCTGTACCATGATCATCTTCCTATGATCAGCTAAGCTTGTCTGGTTCCACTATTCTATACTTAGGGACTTATTGGGCTGATACTAGAAGAAATAGAAAGCTGTATTCGTTTTCTCATTTAGATTGCAGCTACTGTGAAATAACCGTGACCATGTTTTGCATGTAAAACCCCTAACTAGATAGTAAACTCTGCAATGATGTTGGCTGCCTTTACTTGGCAACTCTGTTCCCACTCTTGATGTGCTTTATAACTCACCCATGATGGCTGAGTAGGTAAGAATGAAACGATAGTTATTCTGTTCTCTGGCCCTTCACATGGCAAGGCAGATTACTATGTTGTACGGATGTGCTGTGGGCGGAGCCTGAGGAGTCGCTGCCCACTTTGCCTTGATGGTGGGAAGTGTGAATGACTTTTCGGTCAGGGGATTTCTGAGAGGGTTTGCATGCACTACACCCACCTGGTTGCTTTGGTAGGTTGCTGTGGGGGCTGTTCCAGATACAAATCCTTGTTGTGTTACTCATTTTTTATAGGGAAACAAACCTTAAAGTTCGTCATGCACTCTCGGTCACCTCAGAACTTGGAGCAGATATTAACAGACTTGCAAGATTTGATGGTGAGTGTTTTAATCGCACAAATATGTCAAAACCAAAAAGTAACATCATAAACCATTATCTGAGATCCAAGTTATGTTTCTTTTCATTTGTTGGTAGAACATTAAAAATCTGCAGGCACAAAAGTCTGTAATCGCTTCTCATGTTAATTAGTTTATGAAGGAGAGAATGGCTTTCTCAGCTCATCATTTTGTCTTTTTTTTGTTCTTTAGATCTTGTTGCCTTCAATCCATAATGCCCTTCCCTGCAGTCCCTCAGAATTGCTGAGGGTGAAAGCAGGCCACACTTTTCTAACTCCAAGTCTAGCAACCATCCATTATTTTCTGATGCCACAGTGAAGATCAGACACTAAGCTGCAAACTTGGTGATTAGTCATCCTATTTCATCTGTTTCATTTCTTTGCCTGGTGAAGATAGTAGGTGCTTAGGAAGGATATTTAGGTTTATTTTTTCTTCTCTCTTAAAACTTATCTAAAGAAAAGTGTTAGAAAGAAATGAGGCAGGGGGAGAGAGAAGGAGAGGAAGATGGAGAAAGATCTTCACTGGTTCACTCCCCAAATGGTCACAATGGTCAAATCTTGGCCAGGCTGAAACTGGGAACTAGGAGGTTCATTTGGGTCTGTTATATGAGTTCTGAGGTCCAAGTACATGAGGAATTTTCTGCTACTTTCCCATGCACATTTTCAGGGAACTGGATTGGAAGCAGGGCCACCAGAACTCAAACCAGCACCCGTATGGAATGCTGGTGCTACAGGCAGTGGCTCTATCCACTACACCACAGTGCTGGTAGAATAATTTTGGGTTTCTCAATCAGTTGAGTATGTGTTATCTTTTATGTTATCTTTTATGTTAGGCTATTATTTTTTTTTAAATCATCATCTTCACATCATTCAATCCATCTGATCTTCAGGTCACTATGCTTGTTCTTTTGTAGCTATGTTTCATTGTTTTCTGTTAAGGTTGTCCTTAACTATTCATGGAATGATCTCTAGATACTGTCCATTCTAGGGAGGGAAGCATTTTCTGACTAAGAGACCATGAAGACATAAAATCCTTCAGGAGTCAGAAGAATGAAACAATAATGGCAGGGTTGTAGGTACCGCCCTGGATGGTAGGGAGAACATATGGGACCGCCCTCCCATCCTTCCACATTCCCTGGCTTGGCTCACTTGTAATTCTGGCCCTGAATATTACCACTCCCACATAGATTGATTTTGGGATATTAACAAATCTTTATGAGTTTGACATTTTCTTCTAAGATGTGTTCTTTGGATTTACAGGATCTTATAAGTTAAGACACAGGGAAGTTGACATTATAAGTTTCCTCAGTGTACAGCATAGAGTATATATTGTCTGTGCTTTGCATTTGTTTGTAAACACTGTCTGGATTCTGTTAATATTTTAAGTTATCTTCAATGAATGCTGGAATAACAAATGCTTATAGAAAAATATTCTTTAAGGAGAACTAACCACAAAACTCTGACCAAAACTATTCAGATTAGTTTAACCCAAATTATCTATTACTAAGTAATATTTTTCAATAAAATTTTACTGTTATGTCAGTCCAAGAGAAGCAAATGTGTTCATGAGTCAAAATATTTACTTTAAATACCTCATTGAGTATTTAGGGTAACTTAAATGTAACTTACCATTACTTATTTCTTTGTTGGCAAAATTGTGTATTTATACATCTGTCCGTCTATGAAGAGATAGAAATTCGGGATTTTTGGCGTTCTTGACCATTAAAAAGTAGAACATGACTGTTAAAAATCACTCAGTTTCCCTTCATAGCTATTGGTACCAATAACCTACACTATGATGCAGTTACAAACAACATTGGACTCAGCATAAACAAGTAAAGGTTTGTATCTTGCTTCCTTCATATTCTGATGCAGCTTGGATGGCCTTCTGTGTTTGTAGCTTCGATCCTCTGGTTCATTTTCCAAGTAACTGGGCCAGGCCAAAGGCCAGGAGTCTGAAACTTTCTCTGGTCTCCCGTGTGGGGCTGGGGGCCCAAGCTCTCATGCCATCCTCTACTGCTTTCCCAGGTCATTAGCAGTGAACTGGATAGGAAATGGAGCTTCCAGGACATGAACTGATGCTGATGTGGGATAACGGTGCCTCAGGCAGAGGCCTAAACTAGGCCATGGCACCAGCCCTGCCCTTGGTTTAAACTGCATACATGCTGTTGCTAAAGTTGAAGGCAAGAAATACTCTCTGACCTAAAAACTCTTGTATAGCCATTTCGAAACAGGTTTAGGGAGCATAAAGGACTTGCCCATATATAAAAGCAGTTTTTAAAAAATGCTCCATAAAATTAATTTTAATAAGTGCTACTCACGGATATGGACTAAATTTTCCTCACACAGGATATGCAACACAATTCCCGATTAATAATTGCTTTCCTAAGCAAAGGCAACATAACACTTGTCTTTTATGCTCTATACTGTCGAATTGTGGTTGCTTTTCAGAAAAACATGTCAGACTCAAGAGGCTGGTACACTTCTGGGGTAAAATGAAAATTGTCCTGGAGTTACTATTTCATTCTGAAACCATAGGTGGCATTTCACTCTAAATTGCAAGGCTACATGACGTCTTATGGGTTTATTCCTATTAGATGATTTCCTGTTTCCATGAAGGAATCTGATTGGATTAATGGGGATTAATTTGATGCAAGCACAAATTAGATTTTCCTGTTAGCAGCCAAGTTTAAAGAACTCAAGGGTCTCTGATGTAAGCTGTGGTATGAAAAATGTAGAAGAGTTGAGACAGTTAACAAACCCTAAATCCCTTGCCACAGTTGCTTTTTCCAGTAGCTTTAATTTTCCTCGTTTTCCCTACATGTACTTCATTCCAAGTCCCAGTCTGCATATTTTAGTTTCAATCTCTCCCTCATTCTTCAAACACCCACACTCTAATATTATCTTCAGTTATTTATCTACAAGACTGTGCTATTCTGGTTTTTTTCCACTTTCATTTTCCTCTTTCCCTTCTTATGTTAGTTATTTGTCCTTGTGCAGTGTCTTTCTCTGTAATTCTTTCTTTTGTATTTTGTATCACTCACCAAATTTATTTATGTATTCATTAATGTTTCCTAGGGAAAACATGTAATATGAAATGTTGAAAATTCAGTATATCTCTGTTATTAAGGTTCTTTTGATCCTTTTATCCTCCATTTTCTTTCCCAACCTCTAATTTTGTTGTCTTTAACTTATTCTAATAGTGTCAACAGATTCTGGATTTTTCTCTGATGATTAGTAAAAGGCTATTGGAACAGAGATCAAAACCAGATATAGCATTCTTTAGTTAAGTAGAAGTATGACATCAGCATCGCGTACATTTGGAAATGCCTTGCTTAACTATGGCAAGGAATGATAGATGAGATAGATATTGGAAGCATGCCCTTTCCCATGTTTTGTCTGTGCTGTGTCTATCTTACAGCTTGTGACTTCGGGGCACATCTGGGTATGACATTATTTTTGCTTCTGGTTATTAAGTGATTTTCCCCCCCAAGACTTGCCAAAACAGTTTCTGTAACAACAAACTGCAAGTTTCTGATGTGTTACTGTAACTGCCCATCTCCCACATATCCAAAGACTTGTCTTTTCTATTCTTACTCCTAGAGATGTCTCCACTGAGGACCCCTAAGTGGGGGCACACAAGGTTAAAAACTGAGATGGGTTGCGTCTCAGGTTATCTTGGGCAAGCCTCTTTGCCTCTCCACTTCTGCATATCTATCCAGGGGCAGTGTCTTCCTGATTGTGTTTTCAAGCATTTCATTCATTCATTCATTTACTCAGTAAATGTATATTTAATGTAACACCAAGAGATTTGCTAAGCCTGCAAATACAGAGGTTAAGAAGTCAGACACAGGGTGCACTTTCACAGAACTTACAGCTCTGGGAATGGGGATGTCCTTAAAATAAGGTAAATGACCAAAAGTTTTCAGGTTCTACACATGCGTCGGTCACCGTGAGAAGTAATTACATACATTACCTTTCTAAATTCTTCTTGCTCCTGAAGGAAGATATTAGTATTTGTTCCAGTTTAGGATGATATCCAGACAAATTTCATAACTCTTACATTGTCATATATAGTCATATATGGCAACTAAATAGACAAAACAGAGTAGGAACCCCAGCAAATTGATGAAGTCTCTTCTACAGAGGATGTAGAATCTTTATCTCTAAACCACAAGCAGAAAGGCAGCATTGGAGGGTAAGGCAATTCAGCACATATTTAGCTCCTGATCAAGGTAAAACATGCATGCTAAGAATACTCTGAAGATGCAAAGATCAAGTCCATCCAGACTAGGACGAGATCATGTTGGTGAATAAATAAGTCTTTAAAGATCAAAAGTTGCAGTGTTTTCAGTATGTTTGCATGCTAGGATTCCTGACAAGCATTTGTAGAAGTGCTTGGCAGACATGTGAGAACAGTGCACACCAGACAGAATTGTATTACTGTAGATAAATCCAATTATTTCAAAAGTTCTTATATAAATATTTTTAAACATTTCAAACATCAGAAAAAGTATTGACATGTAGTCTGTTGATACATACCATGATCTAATATTATCTCAGATATATAAAAAAGGGTGGCTTTGATTTAAGTTAACATCTTATGGAAAATGAAAAACTTTGACAAATAAGTAACTGGAAATGGTTGTCAATGACACATTTGTAAACTGGATATTCTTTGGCCTTTGGGAAAGCCCCGGATGTAAATTGTCCAAATATGTTTAACAATCTTTTGCATATTGTTACTGAGTGGACTGAGATCTGTTTTCTGCAACTCATGACAAGTTTACATATTTTGTGTGACTGTTAATACTGATTTCTGAACCAGGGAATGGTTGACTCTTTATTCGGGAATCTTTGTGTATTTTGTGGTCCCTTCTAAAGGATAGCATGTGTGTAATTAAAACACAGGAAAATAAGCATCTCTTTCTGGTTTAAAAAAAAAAAACCTCAGTTAGCATCTTGTGGTTGACTTTTGGCCTAGCAGCTAGCATTCCCACTCACCTAGAAAGAAGCATAACTTAACAGCATAACTTATGCCTGGGGCAAAGATTGCATATGAAGACTTGAAGACCAACTTGCCTCTTTGCTGGTGCTGATATGGTTCTTAAGGTAATAATGAGGAGAGTAGCTGAGGCTACAAGGTTGGAGAGGTTTTAGAAAATACCCAGGTGACACTCTTCTAAGAAAAATATTTATCATAACCACCAGGACAACACTAGTGGGCAAGCCCCTGGCTAAAGAAATTTTTGTATAACAAGAGTGATGTCTTAAGCTATAGATGATTTGTCTAATGGAAGAATTGCACTGCAGCAAATCCAGAGATAATGCTAGTAGTACTGATATAACAAATGAGAGGAAATAAAGTCAATTTCTACAGAAAGATGTGGAATATTGGTTACTGTATTAATGATAAACTCTACACTTCCACGTTGAGGTATCTTCAAAAGTTTGTGAAATATACATGAGTATCATTTTTACACCCAAATAAACATCTTTATATTTTTTCATGAACTACTTAAAGTCCTTTAATCTTCAGTTTGATCAACTTGACAATTATTCAACAAAGTAGCTAGTTTAGTTCTCTATTAAGGCCTAGAAATTTTATGATTGTGAAATGAATGAATTGCTATCTGCTTTTACCTCTTTCCTCTTTGGAGGGGCAAATGAATGCTAGTTTGATATTTCAGCCTAATTAATGACATAATCTCCCCCTGTTGTGTCATTGCCCATTAAAGACTTTTTTTGCTCTGTGTATTCAGCTAATGATCGTTGTAAGAAATTATTTTCTTGACTGTTTTCAATTTGTAAACTGGTTTTTGTGTTCTCTGATGTGATTAACAAAAGGAAAAGGTCGTCAGATTTTTAGTCTTTGATGAGGATCTATTTTTAGTTGCTTCTACTGTGCTTTAAGGTTCCTAGATTTCATTGTGTCAGTTCCATTTGGCTGCATCCTGTTTGACTGCCAAACCAGCACCTCTATCACCGCCCTGCTATTTGGTCTTTCAATATTCCTTTATCATTATTGCCATAGGAATGTCTGCCATCTCCCCCATTTCCATCATTTTAGTCTTATTATAATATCCATGTCATCTCCAACCCCACTCCTTGAAATCATCTGAATTATTTTCCATTCATCTGTCCCACCTTAAGATCCTGTTAGGTCGACACTGTGGCCGTTACAGGAATACAGAGGTGAATTTAGCGCTCCCTTGAAAACAACTTGCTCACTTCTTTTAGATCTGGAAAAACCAGAAATTGGAAAGCTTTTTGTTGTATGCTAAGAAAAGAGAAGCATAAGGGTTCTTATGACAGAAAAAAAAAATAAGCTTGCTTCCTGCCCCAGTGTTTTGACTGGGTCCTGTGTTTAGTCCTTCAATCATTGGGCCCACACTGTTTGAGAAAGCTGAATTGGGGATTGGCTTCCAAGAACCTAGCAGAACCCCTTTCTGCCCGTGTCTGTCTAGACCACGCCCTTGATGTGGGGCCAGAATAGATGAGCCCTGGGGCCAGGGAGGAGTGAGCCAACATGTTCAAGGCTGTATTTGCCTCCATGACAGTCTTTGCTTACGACAATGAAAATGATCAAATAAGCCTGTTTTTTATATTCCTATTGGCAGGGATTGTGTTCATGTTTTTGCCCAGAGCACTTTTTTTTGTGGTCAAATTTGAAGCCTAAGAAATTGAGTCCTTGGTCAAGAAATTGGAATAGTAATCAACCTGTTATTGTTTCCTGTAGATTTTGCTGGTAATACTCAAGGTTGTACTGAATTCAGGAATGAAAATTATCAGTCAAGAAAAAAAAATCAGATTTTGAGAATTTAGAAAAGTCCTTATCCACAATGTAGTCAAACAAACTAATTTAAATCGATGTTAATTTTGTATCTTATTATCCATGGTAGGCTATCATGAAAGCTAACCAGAATCCAGTCTCTTCCCTTGCTGTAAGAAATGACTTTGTCGGCTTATTTGACCTAACTCCAAGTTTGGAAAACAGTCCTGAGGCCCAGAATCCCTTATTTATTTCAGGGTTCAGTTGAGTTGTTTCTGCTGTGTGATGCAAGGTCTGCTGAAGTTAGTTATCTGGTTAGCCAGCAGTGATCGGGCCATGTGAAAACTGGTTACTTCCTGGGGAAGAAGGCAACCAGTGCAAGCAGCTGGCAGGTGAACAGGTCATTGGAGAGGAATGGAGGCACCATGATGGAGACATTTCTCCATTTTTACTTGTGGTCAATCCTGAAGAAATCCCCCACTCCCTTTATTTTCCAAACAACATTTTTTTAATGTTTCAACCTGCCATGTTGGCTACGGATTAAATTCATGTACGTTTTACTGTTTTGGAGTGAGGGAAACTTGTAGTCAGTAACCTCTTGCCTGATTCTGACTTGAAACTTGATCAGATCTACCTACACTCTCTTTTTTTTCTTCCTTCTCTGTTTTCTCTCCCCTCAGTCCTCTTTCCTTCTCTCCATGCTGTTTTTTTAAAATATATATCTTTTTACTCCTTACGTGTAGAAACTGAATACCACTTGTTTGCAAGACAAATGAATATTAATCTAATGTTTATGTTTTGTGACAAGGTTCATCAAAGATTATTTCTGGTTTCTTTTTCTATCTAATGACTCCCACCCTAAATGTGCATTTTCTTACTGAAATAATGGAACAAATTGATTCATTGACATGGAGTAGACATGTGCTTGTGTTTGGAATGGGCTTGTAATCGAGAAAAGATAGAAATATCAGGCCAGATTGGGGCAAGTTAAATGGTGCCTTTGTGAGTTCCCCCTACCCCCCAACTCTGAATCTAATCAAGATAAGAAGCAAAGAACAGCTGAAAGGAGTCACACGCATTCCCAGGCACATGTGGTAAATGAGATGCAGCTCTGTCTGTGGTGGGCTATAGGATCTCTGAAACTCTGAGACCAGAAAGATGACTAACTCGTGCTGTGAAACTGGAAGTATGCCATCTTAGCCTGTTGGACAGTTCACGTCAAGTTCAAAGAAAAACTTTTAGAACAGTCTCACTTTCTCTTTTCAAAAACCATTTACTACAAACTAGAAGTGAAGATGCATGATTTCCTTTAAGGGAAAAACAATCTTATGACTCCTGAGGTTTCTCGTGTGGATAGCACAGAGAGCTGTGTTGCAAGATGTCTGATGGTTCTCAATCATTGTACCACCCCTCTTATTTTCCTAGCATGATGCTGGACATGTGGCATAATGATATTTAAAAAGGAAGGCTACATCTAGTGTATATGACTGGGGAGGGTGGTAAAACAGGAGTGGAGGACTGCAGATGGTCTGAGTGGCAGCATAAAGAGCTTTTCTTTCTCTTTTGCAGGGATTGTTGTCTGCGAGGCACCTAACAACAAATTAGATCAATTCTCAGGCGTCCTGTCTTGGAAGGAAAGCAGATACCCCCTCAACAATGAGAAGATCATCCTGAGAGGCTGTGTCCTCAGAAACACCAGCTGGTGCTTTGGATTGGTGGTTTTTGCAGGTACTTCCCTGGGGTGGATCTGTGTGCCCCTCCCTGTGACACAGATCAGTACATCCCACGGGTCTGCACATTTAAAGGAGAATGGTGCTTTCATGAAGGCGCAGCACAACTCTGGAGTTGACTTTAGAGTGCAGGCACCCAGAGGTGGAAGGGACTTTGATCTTAAAGTAGCTCAGGTAGTCCTGATGTACAGTGAGCCCCTGATACCTGCAACTTCAGAATCCCAGGGTCCGCATGACACAGTGCGGTTTATAAACCCACTGTTGAATTTCTGTTTCCTTAAACCACATCTGAATCGCTCCTGCTATTTTCTGTATCAAACAGCCACCTTTGAAGAGGGAAAATCATGAAAGAAGGCCCCTTGTTCTGTTGTGAATGTTGTTTGGAAAGGTCAAGAGGCCCTTTTGAAGAAGACTTCTTGGAGGCATTTCTGTTTATGCTCCGCAGTTGCTTCTTCTCTTTGTAAGCAGGATAACAGGTTCTGGTGGCAGTGCCTGGTGGGAGTGGTGCAGGGACAGAGGAGGGAGTGGAAGTGCCTCTTTGACTTTATCCTGCCATCTTTCCCTTGTCTGTTTTACTTCTGTGACCCCAAGGTGGCACACTCCTACTGAGGAAGATTTAAGTAGCCCCATTTCCTGAAGCCACTGAAATTGAACCCATAACTTCCATCGCCAGCTCTTGATTTTCAAAAATCTTGTTTATTGTGACACCAAATTAAGATGTAATTTGGGGCCAGTGACTATATGTGCAATCAAAGTTGGGATGTTTTTCCTTAACTGACTTTCCTCAACAACAACAACATGTTCATTAAGGGCTCAGTTGGGTTCCAAGCTTAGAGAAGTTCTCCCTATTCCCCCTAAGTACTCTCAGCTGTGGATGTCAACAGGGACCTTGCTGCTTGAGGCACTGCCATTGTAGGGACTTGAGAAATCCCTAGAAGTGAAGCAGTAGATGTGCTTTTATCTGGAGATGAATATGTTTGGCTTCATGACTTTCATCAGCTGCTTTTGTTCTTCAGTCAGGGAAATAAAATCATGTATTGTGCACTCAGAGACTTTCTGAAGGTCCCGTTGGGTTTGCTCCCTGCTACAGAAAGTGGGGTGTCTTGTTTGCATCTGAATGATTAATTTACAATCCTAGTTCAACTGCAGCATATTATATATACACTAGCACAGCTGTTGAGAGCTTTCCTTTATAACTTTGTCTCAGTGGGAGAGTATTGTTACATAGAAAAAAATAGGGTGATAAATTTGCCCAATTCGAGTTGAGAAGATCTGGGTTCAGATATGTTTGCCAGCTGTGGTAACAAGTAACCTTGGTTAATTACTCCTTTGGACATTTGGTTCCTTCTGCAACAACACGGGCATAATGAGGAGTACACTGGAAAGTGTCAATGAAAAAAATGCATATGTTGGACAATGCTGAACCTTTGTCACACTTTTCCCTTCTTTCATCATCAATGCAGAGCACACTGCCCACACCCTAGGCTGACAATTGGGAAAACGTCTGTCTGTGCATGGGCAGGAACAGTGAGGAGCATCCTGCACACCCTCATCAGGTGGAATCTGTAAGCAGAACATGGCAGTGTTGGCTTTAGCTAGGGCACAGATGTTAATAAGAAGCTCTCCTGGAATAATGGCAAGCAGAAGAAAAAATGATTGATTTTGTTAATGGGTGTCTTAGATCTCCTGATTTTTGAGACACTTAGCGATAGGTGAGCAGATAGAGCTTATGAAAGTTATCTAAAATGAACTAAGGGCTATTATTTCTATATTAATATATCAACCATGAAGAATTATGCAAGGAATGTAGTTGATGCTGATGTAGTTTACTTTATAAACCTATCATTTAGAAGGTCTAATATTTACCTTAATAGGTGGGTCCATCACTCTAATTATGGCTTTCCTTCCGCTCACCAGAGAAGCGAGTCTGAGTGCAGAGGACAGCATTTTCTTCGTTTAAAGTGTCAGAAAGTGTCAGCCCTATCTTGGGTTTTACTTTTATTTTTTTCTGGATGTCTCCCTTTTGCCTCAGGTCTCTTCTCAACTCTTCTCTGTCCCAGAGGCTGACTCGTGTGATTTACATTAGAGGATTTCTTGAACTCTGACTTGTAGTTGGACTCTGTCAGTCAGCCCTGGGGAAGAATGAAAAGGAGAGAGAAGGTTAAGGTCAAGGTATTTTTTTTTCTCCCAGAGGTATCTCTGTGTGATCACTTCAGACTGGCCAGGTCCCTCAACATTGGCTACTCTGTCCATAAAGGGTACAGATCCTTGCTGCCTTTCTCTCAGGGTCCTATAATTCCTCTCTCCGCTCATCCGTTCTGGTTTAAGTAGAGAAATAGCTTGATGGCTAAGTTCTTGGTTGCTGCACTAACATTTTATTTTCCCTGTACTTTTGCCTACACTTTTGTAAAGAGTCTTTTTTTTTTTAATAAACTCTCTTCTAATGATCCTTTTCCACTGGTTTAATTTTAAGAGTCTGAATGAAATACAATCTTAAATATATACTGGTTGATGATTTCATATAGTTTTAAAAAATGAGTCAAGAGAGTTGAAGTTAGATCTGCTGAGGTTCAAGTTCTGGCTCTGACCACCAGATGAGAAAACTTAGGCAACCTGCGAAACTTCACAATGTTCACAGAAAAATAGAATTAAGAGAATTAAAAATCCAATTAAATTTAAATTTTCCATGAATGTTTTGTCCTGTAAATATTTATTTTTTGAAAGGCAGAGTTACAGGGAAAGACAACAGGCAGAAAAAGAAATAGATAGGGATAGAGAGAGAAAAGAAGAGTGAGATCTTCCATCTGCTGATTTACTTCTCAAATGAGTGAAATGAGCAAATTTGGACTAGGCTGAAGCCAGAAGCCCAAACTGCAAATGGTTCTCCCTTGTGGATGGTCGAGGCCTAAACTCTTGGACTGTTATCTGTTGCATTCCCAGATGCATTAGTAGCAAGCTGAATCAGAAGTGGATCAGACTTGAACCAGTATTCTGGTACAGGATACTGGTGTTGTAAGTAGCAGTTTTGGCAACAGTGTCACAACACGATTACTTCCATAAAAATTTTGAAGTTCTTTCATGAGAATTAATGTTGAAAAGTTTATTCTTTCCATGATTATAATGTTTGGAAATAGCAGGTTGTGGAGAGAGCATGTAACGGGTATAGGTAAAGTGCAAAGTTTTTTGAAAGTTTGAGTTAGGGCGATGCAGGGCTTTCATGGTTGAGAGGTGATAGTATTTTGAGTTGTGTGTGGTGGGTGATGCATTATGAAAATAGAGAAGTTCAGAAACTTTATACAATGCTTGATTGACACATCCTGATGACCAGATTAGAAGGTGAGAATGAGATAAGTGTTTATCTATGGACTCTCAGGTTTCTTCCAACCTTCACAACTGGACAGCAAAGCCTGGAGATAAATCATTAGCTTGACTGAGCAAGGACAACTTTGCAGGAAGGTGGGCATGGAGATGCTACTTACGTGGCAAATTATGTGTGATTGAAATATGGGTTCAGTGTTAAAAAGAGCAGTACTTGTAACACCTGCTTGGTGATTTGTTTTCTGCCTTCCATGAAATTCGCCAGTCTACAGATATTAAATACTGGAATTCCTCAGGATTCAGGCATAACTCACCTTCCCTCTTTAATCCCCTTTCCTTGAATAATTTGAAACAGATCTAGTGTCATCTGTATCCTCCTTGGGTTTTTGACCTTTCAGCAGCCTTGGATACAAATGGGTTGTCCATCTGTTTGAAACACTCTATCCTTAACTTCAGCATTACTGTTTTTGCTGTAATGATTGGTCTAGAAGTGAGGTTGAATAATAATGGGGAGATGAGGAAATAGGAACTATAGCAAAAATTATGCCAAGATCTTTGGTTATGAGGAAAATAAATATTAAAATAAGTGTTTATCAGTCCATGAAGTGTAGCGTTACCCTGTGTGTGTGTGCTTATGTGCCTAAGATGTGTGACTCTTGAACACCAAACCAGTTTGTCAGTATTTCAGTTTTTAGCAGTCACAAACTCTATTTGGTCTTTGTGATTTCTATCACAAAAGAAATATATTTTTTTTACTCTCAATGTGTTAATAAACACATTTTTTTTACTCCATATATGTTAATAAACAATTCTGATAAAATATGGGTGTTCTATGATACACAACCAGGGCTGGTACACTGGTACAATTTCCAACTAAAGATATTGTTGTGAGACCTTAAGGTTAAATTCTATTTAGTTTTTAAGAAAAGGTAACTCTTAAAACTTTCCAATGGACTCATAATAGTGAAACATATTTATGGGATATAGGCTGATAATACACATATATAATGTATCATGTTCAAATAAGGTTAATGAACATTTCTATCTTATAACATCTGTCATTTCTTTGTGTTGGAAATTCTCCAGCTTCTCTCTTCTAGTTCTCAGTAAGATACATAATAAGTTGGTGTAAACTATAGTGCTATTGTGCTGTAGCACTCTGGGCCGTATTACCCTTAACTGTACTATGGCACCTATTAGTAATGAAAAGTCTTTAAGACTTATCTACCGTCCTGGTTTTTAGAATGATATGTAATTTCATATATGACTCCCTTCTCTCATTTCTGCCTCCTCCTCTATTAAATGGCTTCAGGAATTGATAACAATGTAGAATAGTTCTCATTTAATATTTGTTTTGACCAGTAGGAATTCCCTTGGCAACATATTCTAATATTCTGCTTTGACAGTCAACTAGTAACCTACTTTTAAAACTCTAATAATTCTTATAATTTCCTGAACAAAATATTCCATAAGTACATTATAGATAATGCATTCATCTGGATTCAAAATAGCACAAAATTTAATAAAGTTTTTGCCGTTACAAAAAGTACCATGTTATTTAGACAGTATGTCAGACACAATGAATTTTTAAATTTCTTGATGCTCTATTTGTTTGCATTTTTTCTATTTTCTCCACTGAATGTACTTCAAGGATTTTTGGGAAGTAAATTTAGAATCAGATTTTTTTTCCCCTTCCATTTTTAGCCTTCATATCCTGAATTATGTTTACTGCACACTTTTTAATATTTCCAAGGTATTATTCAATTTTATTGTCTTAGTTGTGTTTAACTGCTTTAAACTACCAGGAAATTCATGAACAACCTTTTAAAGACTAGCTTTCCTTAAATCTTTCAGATAAAAGTTCTTTGGATTAATCTTAAGGAAACTGATTTTCTTGCAGTTTAGAAGATTGCTGTTAAGCCAGTAGTTGACTCAAACACCACTTAGTGGCCCTTGCTCTTAATACAAGTAAAATTATTTTGAGATACGTGCTTTCACCTTTCAGAAACATTGAAATGAGTATTATTACTGTTATTGATATTTAATGTAATTGTTTTCAAGTTGTTATTTTTCTTACAGGTCCAGACACTAAACTGATGCAGAACAGTGGAAAGGCAAAGTTTAAAAGAACAAGCATCGATAGGTTCATGAATACGCTAGTACTGTGGGTAAGTTATGAGAATAAAATTATGCGATGCCAGTCATTGCCATCTTGATACATTTCTTATATTTTTGCTGAAAATTCTTTCAGAAAGTGTCCCTGTGAGGCTCAATTTGGGAGACTTTTACATTTGAGACTTAGTTATTCTATATCTAAAATTATGGATTCACAGCTTGTGGTAGAAGTTATGTGAGATTGGTCAGTACTCATGGAGTCCTTCACAGAATTCCAAATTATCCATATTCCAAGAATTTGTTTTTGAAAAACCAAAGCTTACTTTTCTGGCAGCTTGGTGTTTTTGCTGTCTTACCTCTGCCCAAGTCCGCTCAGCATTGCTTATGAATAGGGCTGGCTTTATGGGTGTCTGCCTCATCAGCTATAGGGCCCTACACTCAGAAAGACCTTCTGCTTGTTTTAATTGGTCCAATATCACTATCCAGACTTTCCTACTAACATGGAGTATTGCTTCGTCATTTGCCTTGTGTCCTGCAAGCTATGTGACTGGTTCTGCTTATTAAACCTCTGAGTCCCAAGTCATAATTCTCCCACAGAGTCATCTAAATATCCTTAGTCTGTGACCTGTCTCTCCTACAAATTGGCTGAAATGATTTTCTCTAGCACATGTTTAATGAAAACAGGTGTTTCTCACATCCTATCCTTTAAAATATATTTATTATTGCTTTATGTATTTATTGATGGATTTATTTGAGAGAGAGAGACACAGGGAGAGAGAACCGCCCATCGACTGGTTTACTCTCCAAATGCCCACAACAGCCAGGGCTGGCTGAGCTGAATTCAGGAGCTGGGAACTCAAGACCAGGGTGTCACAGATGCAAATATTCAATCTACCACATGATGCCTCCCAGGGTATGTATTAGCAGGAAGCCAGAATGGAGAGTGGGACCTGGATCAAACCCAGGTACTGAGTGTTTTAATTAGATACCTATCCCCATTCTAGCCTTTTGTTAGTTAATTCTGTGTTATCCCATGTTCTTGATCTGATTGCTATTTGACTCTGGAAGTTTGAAGATACTGATTTTATCATATGAGAACAGTGACTTTGAATCACGTTTCCCCATGCTCACCGTTATGGTCTCCCATGTTTCATAATGAATCTGAGCTCAATACATATTTCCTTCACTGATGTGTAATAGTCAAATACGGAATAAGGAAATTAACATTGGCTGACACAAAATACTGCCCAAGATGTACTTTAATTTAGCAGCATCAGACTGGGCTTTTCTGTTGGCTGTAACTGTTTTCTTGCGAAGAGTGCCTGGGGTCAAGGGGACAAGCCTGAAAGAGTTTGTGCCCTCTCCCAAAATTCCTCATTTAAACGACTGCAATCCAAACTCCAAAGTTGTGTGACGATTACATGTCCCTCCACTGTGGAATAAAATTACTGGTTCTGAAGCAGAGAACGATCCAAACATTATAAGATAGAAAATAAGATGGTTCTTTGAGGAAGCTACAAGTCACAACCATATTTAATTTAGGGCATTTACTGCCAACTATCATATAGCTTAATGATTTTATATGTATATATATTCCCCATGATGTGGTTCTGCAGGTACAGGGATTCCTGCCTCCCTTTCACTTTCTGCATTCTCCACCCATTCTTTATTTTCTCTCACACTTAATGCTTTAAAGTAATTCAATTCAATTAATTTTTTCTCTCCTTTGTTTGTAGTGATACAGGCATCAGTTGGGTAAAATGTTGGTAATTGCTTTTCTCTAATACATGGTTTTCTAATGTATCTTACATCGGGTTTTCTCCAAGATGTTTTTATGTCCATACTTAGTTTTGTGAGATGAAAGAATGGAGAAGTCATCTCTAGGATTTGTGATTATCCTTTCTTGGAGGAAAACAGAAATAGGGGAAGTGCATTTTTGTTCCTGAGTCCCACCCCTTCCTTAGCAATGAATCGTCATGAGACCTTGATATCTTTTGCTGCTCTTTGCAAATGTGAAAAGCAGTTTTAAAGATTTTAAGTAAACATCTTAAGAAACATCTTTAAAAACTTTATAATAATGGAACACTTGTATAGAGTACAGGATGGTAACTCAGGATATTTTATAGAGAGTCATGATCAAATCAGAGTAATTGGCATTTCTGTCGTACAACATTTGTTGCTCCTGTAGTGTCCATTCTAGTGTGTGTGACACTGAGCCGAACATCGTGTCTCTGGCAGCTCGTTCAGCTCAGGCCACACCACGTTCACTGACTTGGTGTCCTTTCTCTCAAGGCTGAGATTTTGGAATCATAGCAGGTTGACCTTGTCTATCAAATTGCTCTACTCCGCAAGTATCTGTTTTGCTAACATTAACACAAATAACAATATGTTTTAGCCCACAATTTTTAGGTCAATCCGCACTTTTTTCCCATGCGTGTCTTCAGTCAATGCTTATATTTTCTTGTTAACCCAAGTAGGGATTGTGCGGCCAGAACTATAGCCAAGAGACATGATTAGCCTAAGAGAACACTTCATCACTGATATTTTCTTCCTTTGGCTTGTATGCCTTGAATGATCATGCAATTAATTTTCCATATTGGGTGCCTTTGAAGGGAAAAAGGCCAATTATTTGTAATAGAACTGGGCAATACGTGTAAACTGGGGCTGCCTAGGGAAAAGTATGGAATCTGGTCTTCTTAAGCCACTTAAGGAGCTGCACTTGTTACAAAGTGAAGATAAAAAGTTAGTTATGTGACTATGGAAGCATTGCATGCACTCTTTCTGTACTTGCATTTTTTTCCTTTTAATCTGTAAAGATGATGATTATTCCTATCTTAGGCAATGGGAGAATTAAGCAAGAAAATGTATTTAGCTGAGTTCCTGACATGAAAATGTTAAACCCTGATAGGCAGTGAAAAAAAAACCCCTCTAATTTAGGTGACTTTGTCTTCAAGTAAAAATGTCTTGAATTTACAAGTGTGGTTAGGTCATACTGATGTGACTAGCTCTGGGTTAAAGTAAATCTTAACCAGATTTCTATTTTTATTTCAGATTTTTGGTTTTCTGGTATGCTTGGGAATTATTCTTGCGATAGGAAATTCAATCTGGGAGAATCAAGTTGGGGACCAATTCCGAGTGTTCCTTTTTAGGAATGAAGGAGAGAAGAACTCAGTGTTCTCAGGATTTTTAACATTCTGGTCATATATCATCATTCTCAACACAGTTGTACCCATTTCGCTGTATGTGAGGTAAGATGAAAGCCTATTACTCTAATGAAACCATTTCATCAAAATCATTGTATCCTAACAATCACTTGTTTGGAAATTGCAACGGTGAGATAGATGTTTTGCTGTAACTTCTTATGATCAGCTACATCTGTTACAGATGAATAATTAAGTTTTCAGATGTTTAGCTTTTATTTCCAAATCACAAATGTATTTCTTCTTGATTTGGTTAGCCTCTTAGAGATACTTTTCTTTAAAATAACATGGCATACACTATAATGTCGTGTATCCTGATTAATGAGTGTTGGGTTGGTAAGAAAAGGGAGCTCTATGTAAATGGTTCCTCTCTTGCATTAGCCTGCCTCCAGTTCCTGAAGATGGTCAGCTAGCTTTTTAGCTTCTGTAAGTTACTTTGCCTTCCAGTGCCTCAATTTCTTCATTGCAAGGTTGGAGAAAGTTAAAGTTCTATTTCATAGGATTGCATGAAGAGTGAATAAATACTTGTGAAGCTTTTAGAAAATGGCCTGACACACTATAAAAGCTTAATGAATACTTATTTTTCCTATGATTAGTAATGTTGAGTATATAGAGGAGTTGAAATAAAACAGGTGGTACTTACTCTCTGTTAGACAAGAAATATGATTCATAACTCCAACTTGATCTGTCATTACTAGATTTGGTCTTACAAACTAGAGCTAAGTCATGTTATCTTCCTCTTTCTACACACACACACACACCTTTTTCTAAATGTGCATACATAATGTGCACATGGATATGGTATATGTGTATGTGTTTATTTGATAAGGCTTAGCAGTTGGCAGTAGAATCTGCACTCGAGACATTTTTGATCATAATCTTTCAAGACTGAGCCAGACAGCCCTAAAGACACTGGAGCCAAGATGGAGCTTGGTTGTTTGACAGTCTGCATCATCAGTACTTTAACAATACACAAAATCACCCGCTCTAAATCCCCACTAATTTTTACTAGCCTTTTTTTTTTCTTTCCAAAAGCCTAGCAATGATGAAGCAAAGGGAGTTTAATGCACAAAAATCCACCCTTGTTTTGGATAGTGGTCAGGAAACTGAAATGTCAAGTTGTGGGAAATTGACTTGAAGTAGTGGCATGTGGCCACAACACCACAAATTGCTTGGGCCCTTTGGGGCTGTGGTCAGAGTGGGCTGTGTTTAACCTGTGTCCTACTGGTTCATCTTTGATTCTGAGGACCTCTCATGCTCGTATCCAATTATAAAGTTTGTAGTAAATCCTGCACTTTGCCAGAAGAGCTATGGTCAGCTTTATAGCTTTTTCTTTATGTCCTTCACAAATAATAAATGTGCATAGTGGCTTGTCATCTATACATGTGCAATATCATATGTTTGCAGGAAGAAAGTATATTCTGTATGCATTCTTTCTTTGAAGTACATTGGCATTTTCCTTTAGTGATTTGAAGGACTGATTTTTTTTTTGGCTGTTTTTAGAGGCTAGGTTAGATACCCAGATTAACATTCCTTTTCTTCTAATATGCTGTAGTAAACAGAAAGCTTGTTCATAACAGTCCAAACGCAGTTTTTGGCCCTTGCACTGCCACTAATAGCTGTGTGACCTGGGAGAACGTACTTGGCTTCTCTATACCTTAGTGTGCCTGTCAAATATGTGCTGCTCTGTACAATGGGAGGGTTAAAATAATTGATCTCTGAATTTTAGCTCCAAGTAATGCCTCTATCATCTATCTACACATACACAAATATATACATACATATAACAACACATATGTATGTGTTATTTTAAAACTTATCTCCTGCATTACTTTTTAAAAAAAATTTCAATATTACTAATATGTTTTATAATGGATTGTAAAATGTGATGTCTTGAAAATCTCTAAAACTATCTCTACTGTTCTTTTTTAAAGGATTTTCTATAAAGTAGTTTTACATATTTAATCTCATATTTCCCAACAGTCTTATGAAGTAGTTATGGCTTAATTTCTTTCACAAATAAGGACATGATTTGCTTAGGATTATGGAGCTAATTAGGGACAGAACACAGATCCAAACCCAAGTCTTCTGACATTGGCCCCATTTTCTGTGTCCCTAAGCTGCATATTATTTATTTTTCATTGAAGAAGAGAAGAAAAGAGACTCAAGGTCTGTACTGTGTTGGTCAGACATAGTCTTAGTGAAGATTAAATTCAAGCTTTACTTTTACCAAATAAGAGCATTGATTCTGACCTCCACTCCAGGGAGAAACCATTCCAAGGAATTTCTGGTTAGTCTGCCCTATGACAGAGACTTAGAAGTGAGAGGTCGCCCAGGTATTTCTACTTGGAAGGGTAAAAGCCTTCCACAAACACTTCCACTAGGTTTTTGACTAGGAACCCAGAGCAAATTAGTACCATATGTCACTTGAGGATAAAAGTTCAGAATGTACTCTGGTTACCAGTCCTAGGTGTGCAAAGGACATTTATTTTGTAGGATAATTCCTATGCTGTCAACTTGTTTATTATATTCAGAGCCGCTCAGATACATGACTTTCATACATCATGTTAGGAAATACATCCAATATTCTCCCAAGAAATTAGCTTTTGTGTGTTGTTTCCACAGCAAAAGGAACTTGTTTCCATGTTGCTTGTTTTGCCTTAGAATGGGTGGTATCTTGGGCACTGTCCTGTGGGTGTTTAGGCAGAAACGTTATGTGGCCTGATTATGCTAACTGTGAACATTCGTCTCCTTCTCCCTGGTATTATAAAAGAAAGGGCTGAATGTTCCACTGTGACTTTCCTAATTCCTCCTTTTCCAAACAAAAAGGATATCCATTCTCTCTATTTTAAGCTCTAGGAATTTGGATGAATTTAGAATCCTTCTTCTGGCTTTTACTGTAACACAGCAGAACCAAATCCTCTTGCAGTCATTTTGTTTTGAGTTTGTAAAGAGCTGTTAGACATTCAGATAAGCACAGGCCTCAGGTGAGTTATATACATAGTCCCCACTTGTCCTGGGGTATATTCCAAGACCCACAATAGATGCCTGAAATGACCAGTAATACCAAACTGTACATTTCTACAGAAGAGTTACTTGAGCACATGCACTGTGATATCTCAACAGCAGAGCTGATAGCTGAGTGACTAAGTGCAGTTTCTACATGCATACGGGTGGACACACTGAGCAAAGTGCCAATCTATGTCCCATGTGTGAGAGAGGGATAACATGAGATTTCATCATGGTACTCAAAATAAGATGGATTTTGAAATGAATGAATTGCTTGTTTTTGTGTGTGGGTTTTTTTTTTTTTTTTTTGCGTTTAGAATTTTTGAACCCATAGTTTACCTTGAGTAACTCAAACCACAGTGTTAAGCCTTGAGAAAGGGAGGACTCTTGTAGTTACCGAAAGAATGCCATTCCTAAGGCAGGGCCCTCCCAGGATTCACCAAATGCCTTAATTTCTGTCTTGGCTAATAATTTGTGTGACTTAGTCATGTTTCTTAATGTCCTCATTGTTGAAATCAGGGACTAGAGAGCTGAAAGTCCTTTATTCCACACTAATGTACTAGGATGGACAGAACTCACTTTCAGAGTGAAAGTGTTAGGAAAGAAAGCTGACTTAGGTCAACTAAGAAGAGAATTAGAAGTGTTTGTGTGAATGGAAATATATAAAATATGTACATGAAATGACTTATTTTTATATCTTATGAATCTAGTCATAAAGTGATTTTAGTTTGGGAGAAAAAATTGTCTACATTCACATAGTTATAAAGTGAACTGGTAGCATACACATTTAGGGGAGTAGATTACATCTTTTTAGAATTTAAGTGTAGAATTTATTACCCAGAAAGGACTTAAGTGTCTTTCAATCCAGCTTTCTTAGTTTACAGATGAGAAAATCAAGACCTAATTTCTATAATGACCAAAAATGTGCCACCAGTTGTTGTCATTACTACTCATATTTGATTCTGTTCTGAATGTTTTTATTAATGGATATACATGCAATGGAAATGTCAGTGGACTAAGTTAAGCATGAAGCTGAAATAGTAATAAAATTATCAGAAAGAGAGCACACAATGTGATTTTAAATCCAGCAAACCCAAAAGAACAATCTGTAAAACTTTCAACGTAATTCACCTGTGTCTAATTATGTTATGTAAAATATAAAATATAAAGCTTTCATTTAGAGCAATGCTAATTTAAAAACTTACCCATCAATAAAATGGTGTAATGCCTGGGAGCAAATCTCCTATGCTCTGGTGCAGAGCCTATGTGAAATATACAGCAAAGCAGAACAAAACAAATATTTTTACTAATATTTATCTTTGTCTTTGACGTTCTGTTTGGTTTGTGATATTTCATTTGCTTTCAAATAAACTAGTTTCATGTAGATCTGATCAAGACCTCAAATTAAAAAGTGTATTTTAAGTGTATTAAAGTGTATTTTCAGGAAGCATAAATGAGAGATTGCAGCTAAGAATTTTTGGAAGGGAAGAGAATAAAGGTGGTACTGTTTCTTCCCAGCTTTATTCTGTTAAGGCTACAATAATGGAGAAAAATAGAGACTACTAAAGGACATATCAATATAATGAAATTGAAATTCACAAGTCAGATTCTGTTGCATAAAATAGTTTATATGCATCATAGGAATCAACCCAACTTAATGAGGAAGGGCTTTATTATTTCACGGATAGTGATGAGAAAATTTACTGTTTGGAAACATTGGAGATAACTCCTTTTTATTTGTTGTACTTCAAACATTTCCAAGGAAATGTGGAAAAAATTAATGACTTGGAAGCAAATACAGCTATCTGTATGTATAATCTTACATTAGGCAAAGTCTATATTAGCAAAGTTCTCCAAGCAAGCTATAAACTGTGAATTCAATTAAGAAGAGAAAACTTTTCCAGAAACTGACAACAAAGTTAAAACTCTAAATAAAGTAGAAAGCAAACAATAAACTGAATGTTGGCATTATTTTTGACATTTAATAGCTTTAATATCTATAGAATTATCCTAATCAATAGAAATGCATTAATGTTGGGGATAAATAGAAAAGTACAATTATTCAATAGTAATTTCAGGAAGAGATACAGCTGAATAATAAAATTTGACTATTCACTGGTGAAAAAATCAGTAAATTATGATCATGTACCGTTTAAATCAGTGTGCATTAAAGAATAATTCTTAATTATTTGATAGAAGCTTAGACTGTTAGAATCATTTTGGAACCACTTGACATTATACATGGCAAAACTGGAAGATCTTGTACTCTTGGACATAGGAACTTCCCTTTGGGGATTTGGAAGTCATATACCATCATTAATACAAATGACAAAGCTCTTTTTTGGGTAAATAAGCAGAGAAGAATAACAACACATTTCTTTTTCATTCAGGCTCTGTTACGGTTTTGTCTGTGTGGTGTGCAGATAAAGCTTCCTATCTCTTTTGGCAAAGGCAAGTTGTATTGGATAGAAAGTCTTCAACACATTATCTGCATTTCAGGCCTCTAACAAATATGGTTAATAATAATAGTTTTCCTAAGATTAAGAGGTGCAAACCAATATGCTACATGCAAATCTCCATCGGGCTTGTTTATTGTAAACAGAAAACCATGGAGGATTCTCAAGCTTTTTTGCTAAGCTAGCTTATTGCTTTATGGTGCAGCAAGGAACTACCTTAGGAATGTTTAGGAACAGACTTGGTGATTTTGACCTGGGGACAGAGAACCCACACTTTCTCCTCAATTCTGAAGCCACTGGTCGCCTTCTGCCGTTGACAAAGCTTTGCATAATCTGAAATTGATGAAATTCGCTTTTTCCTCCCTTTTAATGGCAACAGTGTGGAAGTAATTCGCCTTGGGCATAGTTATTTTATAAACTGGGATCGGAAGATGTATTACTCCAGGAAGGCAACACCTGCTGAAGCTCGAACAACCACGCTCAATGAGGAACTGGGACAGATTGAATACGTTTTCTCTGACAAAACAGGCACCCTCACTCAAAACGTCATGACTTTTAAAAAGTGTTCCATTAATGGGAGAATCTATGGTAAGAGTGACATTTCCTTTCTCTTAGTGATATCAGTGGTAGTCTTAAAAAATTCACAGCCCCATTTAAAAATATTTTCTTATTTGAAAAGCGAAGTTAGAGTGGGCTATCTTCCTAAATGGCTGTAATGGCTGGGCCTAGGCAGGCAAAGTAAAAAATCTGAGCAAGAAACTCCATCCTACTCTCCCACAAGGATGGCAGGGATCCAGGAAGTAGGTTCTGCTGTCTTCCCAGCCACATTATCAGGGAGCTGAGTAGGAATGCAAGCAGCCGGCATTTGAGCCAGCACTTTGATACAGGATGTCAATGTTGCAAGCAACAGCTTAACTTCCTGCACCACGATGCTGGTTTTCCATGACTTCATTTTTTTTTTAATTAAAAAAAAGTCCCATTCCAGGACCATTCTGGCTTTCTTACTAATGTGCAGCAGCAGCATTTAACATAGGACTCGGCATGTAAAAAACATCGTATAACTGCTGACTAATTTAGAGGATACCTTGGAATGGGACTATCGATGGATAGAGAACGTTAGAAGTGACGCATCCTGAAGTTCCCTTCAAAGCTCCAACTGTGTGATTCTAGTCTGTGGTTTTTGATGGATCCATATTCCAGGGTTGATTCTTGGGAGTCTAATTACTCTTGTTAAAAGTAGTATTTCATTCTTGCTTCCTTTTTGGCTCTAATGTTCGTGCACCTGCTGTTGGGAACTTACTCCTTATTCCCCGAGAATTCATTCTTGACAAGGCTACCATAATGGAATGCCCAGTTTGCTTTTGTCAGGAGACATGTTCTAGAACTGGGACATACATCTAATGATGGGACAGCATCTAAATGAGATCCTTCTCATACCAATGCTGGTCAGTTAGGAGATGGTTCTTTCTGCAGAGGGTGCTGTGGCTCTGCAGAACCTTTTATCAGGTTCCTCAGGAGTATCCTGTTTCTCAACACAGAATCAGGTTCCTCAGGAGCATCCTGTTTCTCAACACAGAATCTCAAGAAGTAAAGGAGATCCAAGAAACAGAGGGAAGCATTTCATTTGCTCCCTCAATCAAAAGTTCACAACTAGCCAAGTATATTAAAGCAAGAATTGACCCAGAACTTGAAGGACATAGTTGGCTACCTTGCTGTCCTCCTCCTCTGTGACCCTCATTCCTGTAACCCTGGGGTCACATTGGTTTCCTGCACTTCCAGCCTCTCCTGCCTTTTCTGGTGGTGGACAACATCCAGCCTGGCTGTCTATAGGCCGTCTGTTACTGTGTGCATTTTTTATATCAATATCTTGATTCGTAAATAATATAGAACTTGTTTAAAAATTTTATTTTGACATTACTTTTGGGAGCTTTCTAAAAATACTGCCATATGGCAAAAAAAAAGTATAAGTAAGCTTTCTCTGAGGGAATGACTTAACATGAGGACACAGTTTTTCTCCCCTTCTCATCATTATATGAGTGACTGCATTGGGGATAATGATAAGAACCTAACTGGTCAGTTTGAGATTTAAATTCCAGGTTTCTGGGTTCGCACCTGAGCCCAGGGACTCTTGCACACTGTAGTCACACAGAATTCCAGATCCAGAGCTCTGTTCCAACAACAGCAAATGCCTCTTGCACAGGTGCTTTGTGGCCATGGGATCGTGAAATGAAGTGAGAGAGATACTTGCATTCACAGACTACCTCTGCGGAGGCTTTTTAGTTTTAGAAAATAAACACCACCCTGTTTCTCAATTTCCTTATCTGAAAAGCAAAAGTTAAGATTTTCATCTTGTGTTTCTTTATAAGGGTGAATAATAATGTAACTATGTGGCATGTTGTTGATGCCAGTACCTCTTACTATTACAAAAAGCAAGATCTTGGAAAATAATATTAAACCTTACAATACCAAGCAAAAATTGGAAAATTTTTAGTGCTTCATAAATAAGACACCTAAAATCAATTGTGTTCCATTTGTAACCATGGCTTGTTCCATTAAAAAAAAACTTAATGATAGAAGAAGTTCATATTTCTTGTTTAAAAACAGCAGAGGCATCAAACTTATAAACAATATGATGAATGTGTGTGAACACACACACACACACACACAATATCAACCAACCCAAAAGAATACTATAAGTACTGATTATTTCTGTATGATATTCTGTTAGTGGTTTTTATTTTTTACTACCTGTACTTTCTAATATTTCCATTATAAACATTTCAGGTTCATACTAACATGTTATTTTGAAATTTCTAGAAGGTAGGTTTTTATATTCTCTGCAGAAGGCACTGACATTGCTTAAGGCTCACATGCTAATTGGCCTTGTGATGACACAAATTTATCCAGCGCCAAATTAGGTGAACAAAGCTGATCTCACCCAGCTCTAGCACTAAAGAGAACTGGTCTGACTAGGATATAATTCTGGGTCCTCCAACAGTGGATAAAATACAGAAAATAAAAATTTTCCCCTTGAGGTCATAGGAAATGTAGAAGGAGTGATAAAATTCACAGAAAAATGTAATTACAACTTCATACTTTTTTTCATGACTCCTATACTTTTCTTGGAAAACACGAGTATCAGCATTAGTTGCTCTGGTTAGAGTTAACATTTCCATTTCTGTGTTTGTATTCATATCAGCATTTTAGAAGGTACTTTAATAAATCAATGTGTTCTTAAAATGTCTAAATCTAGGCATAATTTTAATTTTCAATTTTTGTTTTGGCAGGTGAAGTACATGATGATTTCAGTCAGAAGACAGAAAGAACAAAGGTGTGGAAGTGGTAATATTTCACTCTTAGCTTTAATTTCAGGTTGTACATGCTTTTTAGGAAGTGATAAGTTCTATGATACATTTTGATTATAAGCACCTGATGTAGTAAATATCCCTATAAACACTGCTTTTGCTACATCTCATGGGTATATATTCTTGTTTTGATTGTAATTTCTTAAGGTTTCTGCCTTTCTCTTACTGATATCTTTAGTACCACATGGGTCATGCAGTAGCATCATATTCTACAAAGAGATTTTTGATATTCCTTTTCATCACTTTAGTGACTTGTTGCTCATTCTGTAGCATGTGTTTTAACTTCAGGTTAATGTAAATTTTCTGTTTTCTCCCTGCTGTGGACTCTGTTTTCTGGCTCTGTATTTAAGGGGATGTATAACAGAAGTGTAGCAGGGACTGACATGTCCAGACGTAGAGCCATAATGTCAGCATGTCTCTCTGCAACCAGACGAAAGATGGACTCCCAGTGAAGCTGTTGAAGATATTCTGACAGTAGGAGGCCGGACTGTCTGACATTGTCCATACCTACAACATCAGGAAACACTTCAATAGTGAAATGATGGACTTAGGACTGTATATGAAGGACCACCCATTGTAAAACTAGAGGGGAAATCAGAAGGGGGAGGAGAGGAGAATGGGGTAAACCAGAGCCTATGAAATTATAAAATAATAACAATAAAAAGAAAGTGGTGAGTTCCTAGAGGCCTGCCTTACACCACCACCAGACAATACACAACATTTAGAAATGGATCATGTAGTTCAAAATTCTTTCTTATCCAGCTTCCTCAGCCACATAGATCTCTCTTTTATAAATTATCTTAGGGATTTATATGCACATATAAGCAAAACTAATTAGTTTATACTTAGGTGGTAGTGCAATATACAAATTGTTCAACATTCTTTCCCAATGCTGTATTATGGAGATCTTTCTGGGTAAGTTTTTGAGAAGAACTTACTCTTTTAGTTACTGACTAGTATTCAGTTGTATTGATGTTCCACAATCTATGTATACAAACACTTATGGACATTCAGAAATTACCAATATTTTGCTCCGAAGTGTCTGGTTTTTCCATGTTTTTTTTTTTTATCTTTTTGTTTATAATTCTCACTCTCTTCACAAGTTAATTTCTGGGATATATAGGGTATCTTTGAATCTGTTTTGAAATACATGTCAGATCTTTCCTATTTCTCTGTTTTTTTAGGATGTTATTGGTATTGATGCTGAATGGTGATTTTTGTTTGTGTATCTTGTAACTTTGTGTTTACATTGGAAAAAAAAAATAGCCACCTGTTTTCACCGTATAGATTGGCTTGTATGGAGAAGGCCATGTCAAAGCTTAGTCAGGCTAGAGATCCTGGGAACCTATGAAGACTTGGTGAGGTGGGCTCACCTTCTCTAGGCCTTCATGGGTAATTTTTCAATTAAAGTTACAGGGTCCTGATCATTTCTTTTGCCGAGTCTGAAGATCCTTGCTCTTTCTGATGTCTGCCTGCAAGTTCTCTAGCTCTGCCATAGGAAACTGTTTTCCTTTTTCTTTTTCTTAGCAACCACTGGCATTCAAAATATTCTAGTCCCTAATGTTAGGCAAAATAGATGCTGGGTCCGTGGATAGCCTTTCGAAAAGCTGCAATGCTGGATATTCTATTTGCTTGAGACAGCAAGATCTCCCATTTAGCTTCTTCTCATGCCAAACCATGCTGGCTGCAGTAAGCTGCCCCGTTTGTCTCTGTTCTTGGTATCCCTCAGATATCAAAAGCATGTTGATTCAGTCAGCATTTTGAATATGTCAAGGCAGAAACCAGTCCCCCTGAGGACCCTTTCAACAATCACAAATGGAATTCCCTCCCCTTTGGAGAAAGTTGTTGCTAGCTGAGATACTGTCTCCCAGGTCCTGAGTTTTTGCTCACAAAATACAGTGCTCTTTAGGCCTTTCCTTTGAAGAATTATTTCAGACACAGACTTATTTATCTACTACTTGTGGATTTTTGACATTTCAATCTGTAGCTCAGCAATTTTTTTTTTTTTGCTACAGAGAAGAAAACAATGTTAATCTATATATTGAGTGACAGAAAAGATATGAGATTGGAATAGAGGACAAGGGAAGAGGAAGTGGAGGATAGGTAATAACTTCATCTTGTGAATCAGAGAGATATACTTGATTAACAAAAAGGTTTCCAGTTACAGTGTTACAGTTGGGAGATTGAACTATGCAGTATCTTTGTAGTCAGATGGGAGGATACAAAGAGGAGTAAATTTAACTAAGTCTTCATTTGATTGTGGAAAGATCTTTGCAGATAACATCTGATATTAAGTCCATTAATAGTGGTGTGACTGCATACTTTTAGAGATCTGAGGTATCTTTCAAGAAGTTTGAGTGGTTTTCTCTGTTGAATGACATTAGGGTTGTTTGTGTGTCCATTGGGGGTATACTTTTAAGTCTCAGTATTTAATTTCGTCATCATCTGAACATAATGTGTTGATTGAAAATACTAAGTATACTTGAATAAAATAAGAAACTAGCATATTGTAAATATTTGAAAAGTAGTAACCATGATTAAATTACTGAGTGAACAGGGGTATGATTTAAGAATAGGATAAAGGAAGCTGGTGTTGTAACCTAATGGGTAAAAGTTGCTACCTGCAACACATATGTGGTGTCCTGTATGAGCACCAGTTCATATCCTGGTTGCTCTACTTCTGGTTCAGCTCCTTGCTAATGGCCTGGGAAAAGAAGCAGAAGATGGCCAAAGTATTTGGGTGCCTGCCATTCGTGTTGGTGATCTAGTTGAAGTTCCTGGCCATGGGGAACCATCAGATGAAAGACTTTCTTCTTATCTAACTCTGACTTTCAAAACCAATGAATCAATCAATTTGGTTTTTTCTTTTTGGCAAAAAATAAAAACAGGCAGTTATTATGACACAGTATTTAAAGCATTGGTTGAATTTCAGTTCTGTCTCTACCATTTCCTGTATGAGTGGTCCTGGAAATACTGAGATGCCCGTTTGTAAAATGAGGATAATAATGTTTTCTACTCATAGTTGTTAAGAAGATAAAATTTTAATTACCCATATGAGGCTGTTAACATGTTTCCTGTTCGCTATTAATAGAGTAATATTATCCAGTATTGTAAGTTCTAGAATAAATCTCACTTCAAAGAACAAAGAACCTACTCGACTAATTTTACTGCAAGCTTTGACACTTAGAATGGATAATTTAAACTGCCTACTGTATTGCCGCCTCTTCAAAAAGGATCTGTAATGCTCTCTGCTCATTTATATTTGTAAGCAATTGCAAAAGTTAATGGGAACTTTAAAAATAAAAATGCTAGCAGTAATCTTTAGGGATACAAAAATAGTCTCTGCAGTTCATAAGCCCTTGTATTCAGAGTAGAACCTTTACATGGCTCTGCTCTTAAAATAGATATAGGCTTGCAGTCCCTTCCAAATTTTCCATTTATGAAAGATAATATGTGCTGTCAGTTATTGCATTACACACTATTCCCAATGCATTTTTAAAAGCCATTTTAAATTTTTTTGAGAGAGCAACAGAGAGATTTTCCATCCACAGATTCATTCCCATATGACCAGGTCTGAGCCAGGCTAAAGCCAGGAGACAGGAACTTTCTCTGAGTCTTCCACATGGGTCCAAGGGGCCAATGACTTGGGCCATCTTCTGTGGCTTTCCCAGGCACAGTAGCAAGGAACTGGATTGGAACTAGAGCAGCTGGAACTCCAAATGGCATTCCTGAATGGGATGCCAGCATTACAGATGGCAGCTTAACTCTCTGTACCACCACACTGGGCTCCTACATTAATATTTTTGCCTTGAAAGTATTAATTCACAGGCATGAAGTGGGCTGATAGTCACTCATTATAGACGAATTATTCCAGATTAGATATTGTTGCCAAATGAAGTCAAAACAAGTTTGGACATTAAGTAAGATTCAGAAAAAGAAAAACAATTTTGTTTTCTGGACATCTTTGTAATTTCGAGTTGTAATGAATATTTAGGGATCTGTACAATCTTTCTAGATTTTTTTCTTCTCCATATTCTTCAAGTAACTTTATTGCTATGGTAAAAGGTTCTAAAATGACAATATTATATTTAATAGTAGTGCCAAAACAAACACTTCACTGTCAGACAGTTGGGGCTGCCGAATCATACAAACACTAAAGATAGTTGGAAAAAATATTGCTGCATTTTAGAAGGTGATTGTTGCATTAAGGTCTATTGTTTTAATTGTTTTTCTACAGGAAAAAGAGCATGTGAATTTCTCTGTTAAACCCCAAGCTGATAAAACATTTCAGTTTTGTGACCACAGTCTGATGGAATCCATTAAACTGGGGGATCCCCAAGTGCATGAATTCTTCAGGCTGCTTGCTGTTTGTCACACTGTAATGTCAGAAGAGAATAGTGCAGGTGAGTAGAAAGTGTGTCGGTGGTGAAACTTTATTTCTGTGTTTATTTAAAAGCAGAACTATTATTAAATTTTAATTATTTGTAAGTGGAAGCTAGTGCTTTTCACAAAGACTTTGCCTGTCACTAGTTTTTCGTTGTTTGTATCCTGAAGGTTTCAGAAAAAAAAATGTGGAGATGCAAAAGCAAAGCAAAACAAAACAAAAAACAAAAAAACAAGGGGAATGGGAAGGTGGGAACCCCACATACCAATAGGATGGGATGCATTTAAATATTCACCCTATAGACAGAATTACAGATAGAGGAGAGGGATCTTTCAATGGCTGGTTCACTCCTCAATTGGTTGCTTGAGTCTGAAGTCAAGACTCAGGAACTCTATCCAGTTCTGCCACATGGATGTCAGGGGATCAAGTCCTCAGGCCATCGTCCACTGCTTTCCCAAGTGTATTGGCAGGGAGCTGGGCTGGAAGTGCAGCGGCTTGAACCAGAGCTCCCATGAGGTGGTGGCATCATGGGTGGCAGCTGAACTTTGTGTGTAACTGAGCTAGCCCCAGAGATGGACTCTTTCTTACGACCGAGTGTCATATTTTACTATGAGCTTCCTGGTGGTGAAGATAAATGGGGAAATAGAACTGAGTCATTTAGCTGTTGCTAGTAATACACATATCCAACACACCCACAAGCCATATGTTTAGACCAAATTTTCTCAACATTGGGGTAAAATGTATTTAATACTCTGATTCCACATTATGAGAATGTCCTCATGTTTACAAGATGGTTGTTTGACTTTCAGGGTTCTTAGAAAAAAAAACTATCTGTTCACTTTAAATTTTGAAGTTGGAAGGCAGGTAGATAATATAGTGAACCAACCTACTGTTCCAATAGAGCCCAATATATGCCATTTACAAGTTTTATGTTTTTCTATTAGCAACTTTCAAAAGTACTTTCAAGTAATTTCAGCTCAGAAGTGAAATTTGTTACATACAGTCTTATAAATGTATACGTATGTGCATGTATGCTTCTGTATTAAGCATGCATATGTGTATGTAGATACATACTGTTTTACTCTCCACCACTTCCCCTGCCCAACACTACTCCATCCAGATAGATGTATATTTTGTATTTCATTGTTTGTTACCCCGTTGGAACTATATTCAGGCCATACTTTTATCCTTGATGATGCTGGAACCCATTCCTTGGATTTTAATCATTTTGAGGATTCACATAATTATATTTATGAGTTTAATTTAACTTTATATTACTAATGCCAACAAAGAATTAATGATAGCTTCTTCTACGGAATGTCCTTTAAGTTTCTTTTATCTCTGCCTCTGAGCTCATTTCATTCCCAAAACTGTTTTAATTGCAGTCTGTTCCTCATTTAATGTTATGATACTTTTTAGACATCTTTGAGCTTTTTAATTAAACTTATTTTGAAATTTTCTTTTGTTTCCTCTATTATGTTTTATCCAAGGGAGTGTCCTATTTTCTTGAGTGCCGTGTCTAACTTTCATGCTGTTCTCAAGCATGTGATGAGTGGCGGTGGGTTGCCTCTTACTTGCGTTTGTGAATCTCGTTTGGAGAACATAGGTTCCCATCGCGGTACATTTCCCATGGCCTCATGGTTTGTTAGAAGGGGCAGAATGTGTAGCTTGTCTTCTGGAATTTCTACGGTTCCCGGGGTTATTGTCCTGCTTTTCTAGATCTGGTGCGAGGTATTTCTGCTGTGGTACCGTTGAACAGAGGATTGTGCTTAAGGTCCCCAGCCTAAAAGAAACTGATAAACTTTTCTTTTTCTTGTCCTCATGGAATCTCTTTTACACATTTATTTTATACACTGGAAAGGCAAGGTTATAGAGGAAGACATAGTGGTGGGAGAGAGAGAAGGTGGAGGGTGAGGGAGAAGGACAGGTGCTAATAGATACAGGTTAATACATCTTCTTTAAAGGGATTTTGGTAGTGAGGACCACTAGATACATATGTCTCATCAACTGTTTCTATCTCTCGCCTTGAGATACCAAATTCTAAGTGAAGTATTACACCACTCAGTAAAGAAAAATAAAGCTTATTTTCTTGTTTTTAAGATTTGTCATGATAGGATCAAGAGTTTATGGATTCAAATAAATCCATGTGTGTTAAAATGCATCAAAATGCATTATATAAATGTTATGAAAAACAATAGACTCTAAAGCTAGCAAATTTAAAACTACACGATTATGTGCTTTGTAGTTCTAGGTACTACTTTCATTTTAAATGTGTGCTATTTGTTTCACAGAGAAGTCCTTTGGAAAAGTTGCTATTCCATTTTTTTTTTTTTTTGGTCAGGACAAAATTTCTAAGGCAGGAAATTGAGAACCATAGATATGCCAGTGGGACCCTTTGTTTTATTTTCTGGTGTATGACATTTAAAGGTAAACAAAAATTACATTTTATTCTTACTGCTGCAATACACCCATGCTTGCTTTAACATCATTGAAGCTTGATTTTTGGTGTGGTCTGTGTTCCATTTTCAAAAGTATTTAACACACAGCATGTGCGTGAAATGAATGTAAATATGTTACATTTATTCAGTTCTAGATTCTAAACATGTCCAGAAGATAATGTTTTTGATTGATTCTACCACTCTTGATTATTTTGATGCCATGATATTTCATATGGTGAGAGATATTTAAATCACCCAACATATAAATATATGTTTATACTCATATTTGTACAATTTGCCCATGTTTGCTTTATATAAAGTTTATGCTATTAGTTGGATGCTCGTTTAAAATCATGTCTTCTTTAAAATTTGTGACAATATATCCTGATTGTCTTCTTTAGTAATTTTTTTTGCCTTAAAGCTTATTTTATCTGATATTAATGTAGTTATGGGTGTTTTCTTTCTGTTAGAAGTAGCATCATTTAGCTTTTTCTATTTCTTCTCCTCAATCTACCTTTCCCCCTGTGTTTATATACACATTTCCTGCACATGGCAAATTGTTCAGCAATTAAAAAAATCCAGGTATACAAATCCAAATGTTAATTGGGATAATTATTCCATTTGCCTTTATTTCTTCTTTGATAGACTTATATTTTAGTTATTTAATGTATAATACATCATCTCCTATCTTTGTATTTTATATTTTCTCTTTTTATCTCTTTTCCTTTTTAATGCATCAAGTCCATTTTCACTGCTGCTAGTTTGGAAAGACTATGTATACTCTTTTTTTTGTAGTTTCCTAATGATTAATTTAGGAATTTTAGTATAATGAACTGAGCAAAAGCTAAGTTGCATTGTACATAACACAGGGAATCTTAATACTCATCAACCTTACTCTTATGTATTTCTTTTGTCATGCATTTTAATACTTTTAACTTCCATAGATATTTCATAGTCAGTGTTTGGGTCCATCCACATATTTCCTAATGCCTGTCTTCTTCCTTGTTTGCCCCTTCTCTGACCTTCTGCTGAACTGAAGTATATTCTTTAGAATTTCCTTTACCAAGTGTCTTCTAATGGTGAGTTCAAGATTTTGTTTGAAATGGGTTCATTTCATCATTTCATCCTTACTCCCGAATAAAATTTTTAGTGTGTATAGAAATGTCAAGTCACAATTTTTTCCTGGAATACCAATATTATTTCATTGTATTCTGGCTGCTCTTCCTGTTACTTTGAACTTGGCAATCACTGATCTTCTGCAGTATTGAAAATTTCTTGTTCTTTTCTTCCATGTTTTACAGGATAGGTATAATTTTTTAAAATTCTGTGGTTCTGATTTCTTTCTTTTTCTTTTTTCCTTATTAACTAGCATTTTAAAAAATAACTTCTGGAATGTTCTCATCTATGGTTATCTTTAAATATTGCCTGTGATCCATTTTCTCATGTTGGAGCTTCAGTGTTGGATGTTTTCCTACTGTTCTGTATGTGTTTAAACTATTTTGTCATCTTCTATTTTTTGACTCTCTGAGCTATATTCTGAAATTTTCTCTACTTTTTTCTACTCTATGAATTCTTCTCACAAGATCTTTGGTTCTTTCCTAAATCTGCTTAGTTTCATTCCTCTTTTTCACTTCTTGAAACATACTAATTACATTTACTATTTCCAATAATTACAATACTTGAACACTTTTGCAGGTTAAAAAATATTTATTTGAAAGGTAGAGTTACAGATAGGGGGATAAATGAAAGAATTAAGAGATCTTTCAACAGATTATTCACGCCACATGGCTGCAATGATGAAGGCAGGCCAGTGCCAGGAACCTGGAACCTTATCTGGGATTCCAGGTGGGTATAAGGGCCCAAGTAAATGGGCCATCTTCTCTTGCTTTCCCAGGTGTATTAACAGGGAGCTGGTTTCCAAGTAGAACTGTCCAGACTTGAATCAGTGCTCATGTGACGTTCCAGTTTCACGTTAGTGGCTTCACTGACTGCTGTAACACTGGTCCCAGTTGTTGAAGATCTCACAATCTCTTGTTTCTGCTGGTTCTTGCCTTTTAAAAAATGTTAATGAGTTAACATTAGAATGAGTTAAACATTTCATTTGGTACTTTATATGTAGAAATTTCTTGTGTTAGCCTTTTTCCTCTTAAAGGAATTTATATTTTCTTCAATCAAAGTTCTAATGCAGGAGAATTTCAGATTAAACTTTTAATTTGATCTTTTTTAAGGCCACCCAAATATTATGAATTCAGCAGGCAAATAAACATGAGAATTAGACTTTGGTCCAGAAGTCTCAGGAGTTTTACTTTCTTCTACTTCTAAGCATAATTTTAATTTCCATTATAGCATTTGCATTGCAGAAAAGTAGACATAGGTTTCCAATTAAATCTCTTAGAAATTAGTCTTTGGGGTTTTCAGAGGTGGTCTTCGTTAACACTTTCTTTTTTTTTTTTAATTATTTACTTTTACTTGAAAGGCAGATTTTCAGGGGGAAAGAAAGAAAGAGAAAGATCTTCCATGTACCTGTTCACTCCCCAAATGACCATAATGGCCATAGTTGAGCCAGTCTGAAGCTAGGAGCCATGAGCTTCGTCTGGATCTCCCACATGGATGCAGGGACTTGAGGACTTAGGCAATCCTTTGCTGCTTTCACAGGCCATAAGCAGGGAGCTGTAAGGGAAATGGAGCAGCTAGGACACAAACCGGTGTTTATATGGGATGCTGGTGCTTAAAGGTGGAGGATTAGCTTGTTGAGCCATATTGCTGGCACTTCCCCCCACTTATGCTTTTTGTCTTTAGGAGGTCTGGGGGTCTCACTTTTCTAAGTCAAGCCTCAAGGAACTGGAAACAATGATCTAGTTCTCCTAGTTCATAAAATTCCCTCAAAGCAAAGCCTATTATCACACTTTAATCCTATCTGTGTCCTTTATCTCCAACTTGGACTTGAGCAATTTGTACTTTCTTGCCAGTTTATAGATGTACCCAACAATCTTAAAAACATTATTGTTTTTCTAAACTTTTTTTTTTGTTTTGATAATCTTTACATAGTTGATTAGGGCACAACGGGTGAAAGGCTACAGGGAGGTGGGTAAGACCATTGTTTCCACATTCTCTCTCTCTCTTTCTTTTTCTGTATCTGGGGTAAGGAGGGAGATAAAGGGAGAAGCCCCACCCAGCTTGCCACAATCCTTGTAGTAAGAGAAGTTGATCCTGCACCCAGCCTACCATATGGGGAGTCCTTTTATCATGTCACATATAGACCAAGTAATTGCTTTATATTTTTTCTTGTTTGTAAAATTTTTGAAAATTGATTTAATACTACTATATCAAGGGGAAATAATACAATAATATAATAAAAAGATTTGTGTTGCTAATCATTTCTTCCCTAAATTCCAGTAGGGATAACCTGGGACAATATTTGGTATGTAACATTTTACCCTTCCTAGTTCCAGCACAGTGGAGAAGCAGGCTTGAAAATGGTCTTTTCTGTTAAGCCAGCTAGGGCTGTGTTGTGTGTGGGATCTTTCAACTAGTTGGAGAGTAGAAAAGGTCTGAGTGTGGGAACACGCTGGGTGTAGGAACCTTGCAGGGTGTTCCAGGGTGAGTATTGGGATTCTATACATGTTAGGTATTGACTTCAGTATTTATTCCCTTTGTGTTCCTCCTAGGACAACTGATTTATCAAGTTCAGTCTCCCGATGAAGGTGCTCTTGTGACTGCTGCTAGACATTTTGGGTTCGTTTTTAAATCTCGGACACCAGAGACCATAACCATAGAAGAACGAGGGACACTAGTTACGTATCAATTGCTTGCTTTTTTGGATTTCAACAATATCAGAAAACGGATGTCAGTCATAGGTAGGTGGATAGTTGATGTTGCTTTTGATCATTTGATATTAGTATGATTATATTGATGCTTTTCATGGAGCATTTCACTCTTGACTATATCATGAGAAATGTAATAATGCTTTTGTCCCTTTGTGAACTCTTACAATTCTTGCTTTCACCTCAACACGGTAGTAAAACACAATTGCTATTTGCCAAATACTTGTTACATTCCAAGCACTGTTCTCCATACACAAATCAGCCATAGTAATAGTCACAACAACCACAGGAAGGTAAGTACTGTTCGTGTGTGTGTCCGTTTCAGACAGGAAGTTGCTCATGTCACAGAATTGGTGAAGTCTGCTGAGTCCATTCGCTTCATTACTGTACCATATGGACTCAAGATGAGTTTCTGAATTTTTTGGCACATACTAATTGTGGTAAACAACATCACCAGTGTCCTCATAACCATTCATTTTTTCTTCACTTTCATTGCTGGGAATGACTGTATTGAATACCACAAAAAATCCAGGATTTCCTAACTCAGTGAATGTTCAGCCTAAGTGCTCAGTGTCTCTCATTTTTAATTCCCTTTTCCATTCCTCCAACAGATGTGCTAAACCTCTACCCTTCCTTAAGCTAACCCTATCACCATCTCCGTGTCTCTTGAAGCGAAAGTCTTTATTTCTCAAAAAAAAAAAAAATGACCTTCAAGGTCAGAGATTATTCTACTACTCTTTTCCTTATCCTCCCATTCATTTCAAGGCTCCACATATTTTTATTCATCTTTCTTTTCCGCTCCGGAGAAAAATGACTTCTGTTCATCTTCAAAGCTGAAGATTGAACTGGTCCCTCTTCATTACTTTTTCCTGTTGTCTCTGGCTCCTTCCTTCATCCCACTACAGAATCGGCATCCTGTCTACTGATATACATTTTCAAGTTCTGTTGTCCATTGGTTTTCTACACTTTTGACCCAATCAAAGCAAATTTTCATTCTTTAGCCTTCTTCCTCTTCATACAACATTGGGGTTAGGCTTCTGAAAGCACTACTCAAGTGGAGCTGCTTTCTTAGAAATTTCTAGTCATACCATACTTTCCAATCCAATGGCCATTCCCTCTCTCTCTACTATGTAATTTTTTCTTCTCTTTTTAAAGCTTATCATTGTTTAATAATGCTGACACTTTCTTGGCATGCTGCCTTTGCCTCTGTGAACCCACTGTCTCCTAGCTCCCCTCTCACTGTGATTTCTTCAGTAGTGGGACTTTTTCTTATTTTCCCATGTTCTCCCAGGATGGTTTTGACTGATGCCTATATTCTGTGAACTCTTATGGGGTTTTTCAGTTTTAGTCTTTTTCTCTGATCATCTAGACATACGTTTTCAGACTACATTTTAATCTTACCATTGTACTGTCCTCTATATGTCTAAAGTATGGTGTTGAATAAGAAACTTTTTCTTCCTTACAACTATTGTTCTTTTTATAGTTTGCATTAAAATAAGTTACCTTTTATTGCAGTTTATCAGTGAAATGGACATAATCTGTTGGCTTACTGAATTATTTGGTAATGTTCCTCATTCAGAACATAAGGAAATTAACTTAAAGATTTAGTTAGTTTGCCAAAGATTGTAATGCAACATGTCACGCAGCTGGTAAGTTGCAAACATTTTAATACAGATTCTTCTGACTCCAAAGTCTGATCTCTCTTTCTAAAGATCCATTTGTTTATTTTAAAAGAGGGAGAAGGCAGGAGAGAAAGGGGAAGAAAGAGACCTTACATCGACTGGTTCCCTTTCTAAACAGTCACAATGGCCGGAGCTGGACCAGATGAAAGCCAAGAGCCAGAAGATTCATTTGAGTCTCACAAGGGGGTGGTAGAGGCTCAAACACTTGAGCCATCTTTCACTCATTAGCAGGGAGCTGGATCAGGAGTAGAGTTGCTAGAACAGCTGCCCATATGGGATGCTGGTTTCACCGGTGCTGGGTTTACTGGGTAAACCACAATGCAGGTCCCCAAAATCTGACCTCTTAATTCCCTCCTACAACTCACTTTGTTTTGACACCTTCATATAGTTTTGTCCCTGGGTTCCTGGTTCTCAGATTTCAGCTCCCATAAGAATCATCAGGAAGGCATGTTAAAACAGACTGCTGGGTCCCAAATGGCACTGGGTGTTAATCTTCTTAAACTGCCCAAAGCCAAGGCCAGAGCTTGGCATACAGTGAGTTTTCTTAAGTATTTATTAAGTAAAATTCAACTCAACATTTTATAATCAATGAGTGTCCTCATTTTATTAAGTCAATTTCTACTTTGGAAAACACATTTATACTAGATGTAAATACATATTGTAAGGTTTTTAATCTCTAATGGAAACTGGCTTTGTGAGATAATTGTCAGTGAGTACAACCCCAACAGTATCTGAGCATGTTTGCTTTTTTTATGACAACAGGCTTAGGGCTGTCACATTGGTCTACACACACAAGCTGCTTTGGGTGTTGGCTTACTTTATATCAGCAGGAGTCCTGTCCCATTTACAGCTCCGGGAAGCCATTATTATAGCTGGTTTGCCCACAGTTGGTTTGTCTTTGTTCGGAGAGTGTTGTCAGAGCCTGAGATTGCAACAAAGGGAGCCATTTGGCCAATGCTCAGCGTTGGTCACCATTATGGGCTGTGGAGAAATCACTGCCTAACCACAAGCATCAGATGCTTGCCCTAACACATCCCATATGACGAAAGGTAATGCTCTACCACAGAATGCATGGAGCTTTGTGGGTTCTAGGATGGTTCTGTTTGGTTTTTATTCAGGAAGAATTCGAGAGGGAGTTGATGGAGTAGAAAAGTCCCTGTTTGATAACAAGGCAAGAAACAATCTTAGTCTCATGATTGTCATGTCGCTTGGTCTATGGGCAGAACATCCTGATGCTTCCTTCCCAAACCCCAGTTGTCTCTCACTCCTTCCTCTCCCCAGACTCCTCTTTCTCTCTTTCTACTTCATCTTCTTTTCCTCCTTCTCCTTTTTCTCTTTCCCTCTGTTTTAAATTGTCACTTATTGAATCATTAATGTGCAGCTTCAATACCAAGAGTACTTTGATTCTGGCCAAGAGCTCTGACTTAAGTCAGAGACAACTAAATAATACTTTATTTCTAAAGATTTTTGTCAGAAGTATAGAATCTACTATGTTCTTAAATATATAAATTATGTAGTTTTGGCAGGACAAATTCTGCTAATTCTAAAAATAATAAATACAGAGATAAAATTCCAGTTGAGTTTTATTAATAGAAGCAACTATTAGGGAATCATTAAAGAATAAACCACAATCAATTTTTCATGTAGCATTTTGACAAAAGTTGATTTACATTGGTCATTTTTAAAAAAGATTCATTTGAAAGGCAAATTTAGAGAGAGAATTAATGAATCTTCCATTCCCTGGTTTGTTCCCTAAATGGCTTGAACTGAGCTAAGCTGAAGCCAAGACCAGGAGCCTCCTCCAGGTCTACCACAAGGGTGTAGAGGGTCAAGGAACCAAGTCATCCTCCACAACTTTCCAAGGTCACAAGCAGGAAGTTGAATTGGAAGTGGAACAGCTGGGGCTCGAACCAGTGCTCACATGGGATGCCAACACTGCAAGCTGATGATCAAACTAATAAGCCAACACTCCAGCCCCCTATGCTGAACTTTTTAAAGCTATCATAGTACAATCTATAGTACATTGCAATAATGATTTCTCTGTGAATATATAAGAATCTGAAATATGACAATGCAAAGAATTATTTATCATGGTACCATATGTTGTCATTGTATCTTTTTTTTGGTCATTGCATCTTCATGATGCATCTTCATGATGCTTGCATGGATTTTGCACAATTATACTTAATTAAGCAAATATTTTTTTTTAGTGTATGCTATAAGGACTTGAGGCTAAGAGAATGTGTGAAAACTTGAGAGTCTGTGTCTGCATTCACAAGAACAGGACTTGTGGGAGGGGGCAGATTTTGATATGCTCCGTACATGCCACACCAAAGAGTCTGAACTTGACCTAGAGGCCTAGGAAAGCTATTGCAGGATTTTAAGCAGTAATGTGAAGGTGATTCTGACTGGAGCATACAGATGAGTTTGAAAGAAAGCAGGAGGGGAATGAATGAAGTCAGTTTGGTTAACGTGATTCACCTATGCAAGAGAGCGGTGGCAGAGTGGAAGTTGGTAACCTACATTGGCCAAATGGGTGGGTGGTGGAGGGAGGACTGCAAATGAGGCTTGCATTTCTGGCTTAGGAACTGAATACATTGGTGAAGCTGATTATAAACACTGGTGACATAGGAAGAGTAGACAGTATGTCAACCATCTTCGGGAGTTGTTCAGTTGGTAGTTGGATGTACAGGTCATAAGGGAATGTGGAGATGAAACTGAGTAGAGGATAAACAGTTGAGAGCAGACAGTCTGTCCATGGAATTGGAAGCAATGGAAATGAATGTGTTTACACATGACAAATGAGAGGCGAAACAGTTCTAAACCACCAAGTCTTTGAAGAGCACCAGTATTTGAAGGACAAGCAAGGGGAAAGATTTTGTAATCTAAAACATTGACCTTTGCCTGGACTTTTGCCATATATTAGCTTTATCATTTGAACTCATTTTTTTTTTTAATTTTAGAACGGCTAACTTCTGAACTGAATGAAATTTTGTTGACTTTAAATAGAAATGAGCAGCTTCTGTGTGAACTTAAGCAGGTTTTGAATGAATTAGATTTACACAAATTCAAGTTTAAAAAGGTGAACACTTAGTTCAGAGTAGGTATTCAGGGACCAGAGTTGTAGCCTAGCAAGATGGCAAGTTAAGCCACCATTTGTGCCACTGGCATCTCATAAGGGCATTGATTCACATCCTAATATCTCTACTTCCACTCCAGCTCCCTTCTAATGCATCTGGAAAAGTAGTGGAAGATGGTCTAACTTCTTGGGCATGCTACCCACAGAAGAGACCCTGATAGAGTTCCTGGTTCCAGGCTTTGGAGGCCATTTAGGGAATGAGGGAATGGATGGGTGATCTGTCTTTCCCTCTCTGTTTCTCAAACTAATGCTTTTTTTATTTAAATAAGTCTTTAAAAATGAGAAGTCACAAAATTTTACAGCTGGGCAGGATCTTACAATTTGTTTTATTTTAGCATCACCTTATTTTTTTCTTTCTTTTTAAATTTATAATCTTAGTTGATTAGGGTACAAAGGGTCAAGGGCTACAGGAAAGTGGGTAATGCCATTGTTTACACACTAATATCATTTTTTTCCCCTGTATCTGGGGTCAGGGGAGAAACAAAAGGAGAAGCCCCACCCAGCCTCCCACCCCTCTCAGGTCCCCGATGTGAGGCACACTCCGAGGGTCCTGTTCAAGCAGTTTTGATAGTTCAACAGTTCTAAATTGCTGCCAGTCTTGCTATTCCAATCGCAATGAAATCTACTCAGAATCCACTGGCTTGATATAGTCTCTTCTGATTGGGGTTCTGAGATCAGCAGTTCAGTTGGAGGGATCTCCAAAGAAACTTCCAGATCTGATTCTTGTGTCTGCTTGCCAGTACAGGGTCAGGTACTGCCCACCGCCCCAATCCTGCCCATTTCATACTCTGTCCTCACACAAACCAGTGGGAGCTGCAGCCTAGCTGGGGAGACTCCCCATAACCCCCACCAGGCCTGCCCCCTACCCTGGTTCCCATGCATGCCAGTATGTACCGCAGACTTGTCAGTCTGTCCTACATCCCATTTAGCTCTCATACATGTCAATGGGCATTGAAGCCTAGTTCAACCCAACCAATCCTACTATCCAGCCCACACACATACTGGCAGGTGCCTTTCTGTCTAGCCACCCTGCCCCTGTCCAGGTTTTTGTGTTCTCCAGTGGAAGTGGTAACCCAAGAGGGAGGTGCCCACTATTTCCATTTTAGGCCACTCCCACTCCCAGATTATGCACTCTCCAGGTGGTTCTGGAGTTTAACTTGACAGATTTAGCCCCCAGTGCCAGCCTCTGCCAGCTGATGCTATGGCAAAGCCCGACCAACCCTCACCCACTCTAATTTTTGTTTGTACCAGTCAGAACAGTCAGCCCAACCTGGCTTTTCCCTGATCCAGCTAACATGAGGACCACAGGTGTTATAGCCCTGCCTGGTATGGTCTGCCCCCATCCCAACTCATGCTCTCCAGTGGGAGTGGTTGTCCAGCAGGGGAGTTCACATTCCCCCTACTAGCTTTGCCCCCTCCCTCCCTGGTTCTCTCGTGTACTGTTTGGGCACTGCCGCCACAGCTGTTATGGCTCACCTCACCTTGGCATTCCGTAATGGCTCACCTTACTCTATGTGAAAAGTGAGGCATTAAAACTTAGATTGTGGTTCCTCTCAACCAATGGTTCTCAAAGTATGATCTGCAAAACTTTAACAAACACATGACAGGTTTTTTCAAGGATGCACCAGAACAAAAGCATTTCCATGGTAATACCACCAGTATTTTCCATAATTTTTTTCTCATGAGTATACTGTAGAGTTTTTTCAGGGGTCATCAAATACATATCATGACTGACTAAATGAAGAAGCAGACATGAGAATCCAAATGTCTTTTATTAAGTTGGGCATTAAAAAGATCTGCAATAGAAGAATGTAGCATCACTCCCCAAATGTCTTGTTTCTGAAAATATTTTTTCTGTAGAAATATTATTTCTGGTCATACTTATTAAGGACATTATAACAGTTATTGTCACAATGATAGTGTTTTAAGAATGGATATAATAAAATATACACATTTTTTCTTTATCTCATGGGAGAGAAAACAGTGAGTGAAATGATTGGGATGATGTTGAAGAATAGTAAAATCTTAAGAGTGATTTTTGTTCCCTGCTCTTGTTTGGGACAGTTATATAAATTGCATATGCCATTCTCCCTCATTTCCCCAGTGTGGACAATTAGAGATAGAGGACAAGAAAGTGTATGAGTTCGGCAAGGAAGTAAGTGACCAAATGTCAAGACAAGATCTAGACAAAGCTTACTGCTAAAAGAGCTCTTCAAGGGCAGGATCAAACTAGAATAGGTTTAGTGTTGGTTCAGGTTAGAGGAGAAAGTAATCTATTGATTATGTTGATATTTATATTCTGTTAAGTCAAGTTCTAAACTTGGAATGCCATTAAATTGATAGGCATGCAGGTTTCTGTCCACCTACTTCGAGACATCGTTTTTTGGGAAGGAAATGGTCTAATTGGGTGGAAATCATATAATTGTCTTCAGCTTGACTGAGTATCAGAGTGCTCAGACCATCCCATTGTGATCCAGGTAGTCGTTTTATATTGCAGGCAGTTTCTAGGAAAATACACACACACACACACACACACACACACACACACACACACACACACACACAGAGTCATGCCATGGATTCATTCACTTCATCATTCAAAAGATTTTTCTGTCATGGGTCAACCTGTAAGACCAAGCTTACATGGATAGACTGTGTTATATGGTTTGAGAAAGCACTTGGTAGGGGTGAGGGGAGTCCAGGTCATTCCCAAACTTGAGGGGCAAGTTAAAAACAGCCAAATTTCCTAGCTAAGTCATGGAAGAACTGTATTTTGAGGAATTCTATTGTTTATATTAAGCTTTTGCAAACTTGTTTTCTTTTCAGTTCGAAACCCAGAAGGACAGATAAAGCTTTATTCCAAAGGAGCAGATATTATCCTGTTTGAGAAACTCCTTCCTTTCAATGAAGACCTTCGGTCTTTGACGTCAGATCACATCAGTGTAAGTGTCTTGGTCTTAGGGTTAGCACAATGGCCCTTTTGCCATCTCCTATGGTTAAGTCTTGTTTTAAAAAAATATTAGCTAAGGGATCTGACTTCTGAAATAGAAAGCATCTGGAGAGTGGTTCCAGAGGAAATTGTGCCAGGCATGTCTGCAGGCTGGCACATGGCATGCTGGCCCCTGCCCTGGTGTCACCACATGTACATAAGCACTCAGTGGCTGAGAAGTAGCTACAGAATATGAATGATGGAATTGCAGCCAGGGCTGTGCTCAGGGTTGCTTTGGGACCACCTGTTGACACCTGCTCTAACTCCCTTGCAGCTTTATGCTATTCTGGTGGGGAGAATGCTTTAGCTCTGGGAAGAGGAATCAGAGAATTGCTTTTTCTTGCCTTCTGGTATGTTTGGCATAATTGGAATCTCTTACATTTACACCCAGGGGGTAGTTAAGGGTTGTGTTTAAATAGGTAGGGAAAAACAGTCTCTGGCATCCACTTTCTCCCCTCAGGGTCCTTTAATTCATATCATAAATCATAACTCCTTTGTGGCCCTTAGGACAGTAAACTGCTGCATTCTGAGACCAGCGGAGTTTATTTCTGAAGTTTTCTGAAGGGAACAGGGAGTGATCTCAGGCCGACTTTCCTTTTTTCTTCTTTTTCAAAAGAATATGAGTCAGTGGATTAATTCAAACATTACTTGGTATAAATCTGAGATTCAAGGGGGTCTCTAATATTTGTCTGCACTCACTTAACCCCATGTGAACTCTAAAGGGAAACCAGTCAAAGCTCTCTTTTTCTCATTGGTTTCTTTCCTTTAAAAACTTATGGAGGATTCGCATTCTTTGTGAGGTCCTATATTTAATACAAAGCATTCCCTGAATCTGTAAAAAACAAAAGTAAAAAAATAAATCTGTCTGCCTTTAAGTTTTAAAATGATGGCTTAGTAATATTGGTTACAAACATAGCTATTGTTTTTGTCTTTCCAATAGAGCATTCTTGATTTTCTTTTAATCTCTTCCAGAAGGCCAGCATGTTTAAAAATTTTTTTTTTATGAAAACAACAGTGGAATCATAAGTATTTGATTTTTGTCATTGCTCAAACACCAAAGCCCAAGGTTTTCACATGCTGTCCTTTCAGACTAAAGTATAAGAAGCCCAATTTGGTTTTTGTACATTTATGATCCCTAAATGTTAATGTTTTTAGGTAATGTCAATTTGATTTGCCCTTTGTTTCATTTATTTATTTTGGCCTCTTAATTCCTAGGTGTGAGATTTGTAGTTAATTAAGTGATTTTGAATTGTTTAATGGTAGAAAAAGACCTTATTCAAATGTACATTTAGGATCCAACTTGTGTTTCTTGCACTAATTAAATAACTTAAATCATCTGTCCCCTTTTATAATGTCATCTTAGAATTGATCACTGTTTTGCAGAACAGAGAGGAAGGCCCTGCTAATGCCCAGTGCGACTTCAAGTTAAAGGCAATGAGGCATTTGTACAAATTAAGAGGACAAAAGATCATTAGAAGACAGTAACTAGATTTTCAGATCAGAAGGGGCCCAGTGGTGGTCTTGGAATGGAGAGCTTGGAAAATGTAATTGCAATATCCAAAGTGCTACCAATTGCCTATGAGATAAACTGGGATCCTTTTCCTCATAGTCTCTCAGGGCTAAGCCACATCATCACAGTATGCACCGAGTTTCCATTTACCTGACTGGGGTGTGCCATGGTTTAATTTTTGCCTGATTATAAAACTATCTGTAATCTAAGCCAAAACACAATGAAGATGACATTCTCAGCTAATGATACCCAAAGGAGAAGAAATGGCTCTAAAACCACTTGGCTTACAGCTCAGAGGCCCCACGGTGACCACTGGAGGCACAGGCAAAGTAGGAGGATTTTAGCACTTCCCCAAAGTAATCTATACATTTTCAGCTATTGTGGCTGTGTGAGACATTTAGTAACTTCATGTTTCCTATATTTTCTCCTGTGAGAAGGATGAAACAGGAAATTGTATTAAAGTGTCAGTTTACTGAGACACTAAAGAAAGGACTCAGTTTCCCAATCAAATTGACTTCTTATTAAATGCTAATTCCATAGACCACCATTTCTAAGAAAACAGACTTTCCTAAACTAACTTTACTTGATAATGATTATATTGTTTAAATTTTAAGCAATGAAAAAATTTAAAGAATAATGTAGTAAGATAGTAGTTCCACTGAAGTCTAGAATGAAATATAAAACTCAGTCTTGACTCTAGCCTGCAACCATTCACATTAGCTTTAATTCCTTTCCTGCCTGTTTGCCTCAAAGGTTTACTGTCAATAACATGCTTAATAACTAGTAAGTAGCTAATTGAAGTATTTATTGATTTATTAGGATTTATACACTTATTTGAAGGACACAGTTATCCAATAGTTTATTTCCCAAATAGCCAGTGATCAAGATAGATCAGGTAGAAGGAAGGAGTCTGGAATTCCATCTGGGTCTCCCACATGGATGATAGGGACCCAAATATTTGGACCATCTTCCATTGCCTTGCCTTTCCAAGTGCATTAATAGGCAGCTGAGTTAGAAGTGGAGCAGCTGAGAAATCGACAATAGTAAATACATGTAAACAACCCTGATACCCAACAAAAGAGAAATGGATAGAGAAACTGTGGTACATCTACTCTGTGGAATACTACTTGGCCATTAAAAAGAATAAAATATTACAATTTACAACAAAATGGTTGCAACTGGAGACCATTATTCTTCATGAAATAAGCCAATCCCCAAAGGACAAATATCATGTTCTCTGATTTAAAGCAACCTTCCTACAAAATACAAGATCAGCAGATGCATAGGTAAACATGTATATACACATATTCACTTAGAGGAATTATATTCTGGAGATGAGCATATTGGGAAGTGAAAATAAACTGAAGTATGTATCTCTACTTTCAAATAAAAGTTGGACTCACAATGAAAATGAAATATATCTTGACAGTAGGATGTTGGAATTTTTACCATTGTCTGCCTTTACAATGTCATTACACATTTAAATAATAGAATGATGGACTTGTGACTGTTGCTGAAGGTCTCTGTCATTGTAATAATAAAGGGTAAAATAGTGAGGGAGTAGGAGAATATGAAAGATGGGAGGAGAAAGCCCTGAGCCTATGGAACTGTATCATGAAAAGTAAAAAGGGAGCAGCTGAGCATGTCACTGCACCACAACACTGGCCCTTGTTCACATATTATTGACTTTTAGCCTTTTATTTTATAAGTTATCAAGTTTGTACCAAAGTAAGACTCAATGAATTATAAGCATGGATATATGAACATGCTTCAAAAAGTTCAGGGAAATGGAATTAAAATATAAACTTTATTTGGTGCAACAATTTGAAAAGCCATACATAGCTTTGCTCATCGTATGCATGTTTGCACAAACTTTATGAGGAATCCTTGTGTTACCAGAGTGGTGAGAATCACGCTGCAGTTTCATGAGAGCCCATGGCTTTGGGTTGAGTGTAGTGATGTCCTTTCCTCATCAGTGAAAGCTGACAGCCAAGAAATGTTGCTCCTCTCATGGCCTAGAATTCTCTCCAGGCAATGAGAGGTTGGGGACCACATGTATATGCACTTCCAATGGCTGTCTCTTGGCAGGAGTGTTGCTCGTCACCTCTCAGCTAAGATAGTTCAATGGGCATTCAGCTGCCTGCAGAGCGAAGGCTAGCTCCTCAGAATGTTTTCACATCTTAGAAATCAAAGACAAAGCACATGCATGGCAGCTGACATTTCTGAGGAGGTAGAAAGGATGGACAAGCAGCCCTCTTGCGGTGAAATGAATCTGTGTAGAAAAATTATTCATTGTTGCTGTGCTTATTATTTAGAAACAAGAAACAAAGGTTTCTGTGTCTTCCCTGGCAGGAATTTGCAGGGGAAGGCCTTCGAACTTTGGCTATTGCCTATAGAGATCTAGATGACCAATACTTTAAAGAATGGCAGAAGATGCTAGAAGACGCAAATGCTTCGGCAAATGAGAGGGATGAATGGATTGCTGGGCTGTATGAAGAAATCGAAAGAGATCTGATGGTATGAGTTAATGTCTGCAGGAAGGACAGTATGTGTTTGCTTTGTATGATTCTAGTGACATAAGAGATTTATTTCGATCAGCAAGGGCTTATGCACTTGGAATAAAAGACGGTAGACTGCCTTTGAGATGTCTTAGATGCTATGGGTTTTCTTTTTTCTCACCTTGTTCTATGACTTGTTTCTTTGTAAAGATATTTATTTGAAGGCAGGTTGATGGAGGTATGTATGTATGTATAGAGAAGGAGAGAAAACTTTTCATCCACTTGTTTATTATTAGCTGGGGCTGGGCCAGGCTGCAGCTAGGAGCCCAGAATTCCCACTTGAGTGCAAGGCCTTAGCAGGGAGCTGAGTCAGAAGTGGGGAAGCCAGGACTTGAAAAGACACTCCAATATGGATTGCTGACATCACAGGTGGTGGCTTCACTTTATCTTAGCCAAAAGGCTGAGAAGCGATACAGGTGGTGGCTTAACTCACTGTGCCATAGTGCTAGCCCCTGTACTTTGCTGTTTTGGAGTGGGGAAGTTTGCTAAGCAGAGCAGGGCCATATTCTAAGCTATCTTGGATCATGAGAGTCTACTGGTATGTGTACTGTCCAGAATGTGGTCTATTTTAGAAATCATTCTTCCCGAAGCTCCAGTGGCATGCTGTGAGGCACCAGGGATGATGCCATGTTCATTGTCACATGGAAGATGATCCTTGGAACCTTCATTTTTAGTTTATGGCCTCTGCTGATAGTGTAGGAGCAAATTTTTTTTTACTGTGTTGTGGTGAGCTTCCTGAGCAGGAGGTGAGGGCTTTCCCCTGGACCCCTCCATTGTTGATGCATACGGGGTAGGGAGCTGGGGAGCTCTAGATGTTCACATGACTTCTGACAATTTATGCTAGTGTCTTTCTTAAGCTGAGCAACCCTGTCATATAAATTCTAATTTCCCGGACCCCTGCCATTCAGTTGGCTTGATCTAGAAACTTCCTATGGGATATTTCCAATCTACTTCTTCAAAAGTAGAAAATTTGCTGTATTGATGACAATAATTCCTATCTCCAATTCATGTTCCCTGACCTTGAAGCTTTGTGACTGAAAGCCACTGACATTAAGTATGTTGTTTGTACTCATTAACACAAAACTTTGTCCATTTTTCATTGAAGCTATTAGGTGCCACTGCTGTAGAAGACAAGTTACAAGACGGTATTATTGAAACTGTTGCAAGTTTGTCACTAGCCAATATTAAGATATGGATCTTAACAGGAGATAAACAAGGTAATTTGGAAATGGAAGATGATGATGCTGTGAAAAAGGGAGAGATGACTTCTATGACAAATCTTTAATTAACCAGAAACCTCAATTAGATATCTGTCTTGCCAATTACATAGGAGAATATTGAAATAGAAGCAAGAATACTAATCTGCTTTTTAAATATAAGCAAAGAAAAACAAGGTAACAAGATGCTTTTAATATCCTATACTGGGATCACTTGAGTTTCGATCCAATTGCCATCAAATACAGTTGACATTAACAACAATAATACTAAAATATTTAACATGGGTTCCTATGAGCACTGCCCCTAACCAACACAGACATTGAGACTGAAAAAGAACTTTGGAGACTTTGGGTTACCCTTACGGCTTCTTGAGGTATGGAATATTTGGGGATTTGAGGCTTTAGGAAAGTTCAAGCATGCAGCTGTTTCTCAACCATTTAGGGAAATATTTTGGTATTTTTAACAACCACCACAGCTGTGCCAGTAGAGTCTGGCTGAATTCCAGGTCTCCCCATATAATGGTACAGTGAGAATTCACCCACTTCCAGGGATGGAAAATTCTAACTCATCAGAGAAAAATTCATGTTAAGAATATTGCATATGTTAAGAAACAGAAGGGAATCAATATATTTTGGGTTTCTTGCTGACAGGAGTAATTTAGAAGTGATTTTAAACTTTTCACAGTCAACTGCAAATATTTAATTAGCTATTACTTATCTATTAAATTTAATTAGCTAGTAAATACTAATATTTAAGATATTGATATATATCTAATATATTTAGGAATATGTCTACTGGGTTTTGCTGGAAGCTTTGAAAGATTTGAAGATGTAATAAGCCAGTCTTTAAAATTTTAATCAAAATAATTGATTATAAAATAGAAATAGTAGAGTTGAACCTTTTGGTATATCATTAGTAGAGTCTAGAAAGTTATTAGATGTTGATCAAGTATGATTATTAAATTGTTACCAACCATTATGACTTTATCACAATTAGCTTCACTTCCCATAGTTTATACATAAAATATGCTAAGCTTTCCATGGTTTGTACATAAAATATGCTAAGCTTTTTATGAATTAGCTTCCTTTATGTAGGACAAAAGTAAGGAATTACAGTCTGAAGATTCAGTAGCACTTGAAAAAGTCAAATAGGTGCATTAAAAATGGAAGGAGTTACCTAGCTATCCCTGGCTCCATTTCTATCAATGGATTGACTGCCAGAATCATGGAATTTTCCAATTTTCTATTAGAGACATCCTAGTTGGTTTGGAGATCTTACTAAAATTCCAAATTTCTATTTAATGAAAAAATAGCAGTGTTGAATGTGGGAAAATTGTATCAATTTTCAAAGAGTGTTTTTGTTATCTAACTGTATATTTGCTTTTTCAGTTTTCCTACTATATCATAGCTTCATTTTAGCTAAGTTTAATATTTTGGGTCACTAAAGGCAGTCTTTGGGTCTTCTGGTCAAAAGTTTTATACATATACCTGTCATCATAAGATCTTACACAATTTTCAAAAGTTCTAATATCAGAATTATAATTTCTTTTCAAACTGCACAAGGAGATTCATAGACAATGCTACTCCATGTGTTGAGCAATGGTTACCTGATTATGGAATCAGGTCCTTGTATGTTATTTGAAGTCATTTGTATTTTATCATTCATTGTGCTCTTCTGACATTAAAGAGGCTACCAAGAAATACTGCTATGACCTCAAAACTTTTATGAAAAATATATCTGTATCCTTTAGTAACTTAAATAAGCTTTTTCTTTTATATCAGAAACGGCAATTAACGTCGGTTATGCCTGCAATATGCTGACTGATGACATGAATGATGTGTTTGTGATATCAGGAAACACTGAAACAGAAGTACGAGAAGAACTCAGGTAACTATTGAAGAAACTGTGAAAGGGGGTAAGGATGGGAAGGAAGCCAAGAAGTAGATGGAGGAAGATCAGGTAGCAGAGAAAATGGAAAATTATGCTACAGATTCCTGTGGGCCTAAGTTGATGCAGAGTTCTTTTACTTGTTTCCTAAACTCCCATTCATTTTGGTGACAAAGATAAGTTTAACATCAGTGATTAAACATTGTCTTCAAGTTTCCAACACTTCCCAAGTATATTTTTCAAAAAATGATTCTAAAATTTTATTTTACAGGGATAGGGAGGGTTGAAAGAGAGAAAGGCCCCATCTACTAGTTCACTCCCCGGATTCCCACAATGGCTGAGGTTGGGCCAGATCAAAGCTGGGAATCTACAACTCAATGCAGGCTTGATGAGGAAGGCATGGAGTCAATTATTCAAGCCACCATGTTCTACTTTCCAGAATTTGTGTGAACAGGAATCAGGAGCAGAGCCAGGATTCAAACTAAGGCACTCTGATATGGGATGTGGGCCTCCCAAATGGATGCTTAACCACTGTGCCAAACATCCACCTGCATCATGCCATTCTTAAGGCCAGATCTTCCTGGGCTTTATTGAAAACTTGAATTCCATTATCGAGGTTGTGGCCAACCAACTATGTGACCCTGGATTTGACATTTGACTACTTTAAGTGTTAATGTCTTTATTGAGGAAACTTGGGACTAAACCGCTGGGATCAATTTATTCAATAGGGACACATTTCCCATGAGAGGCAAGATACTTCTCTGGTCTGTTATAAGTGTTAATGTTTATTTGAGTGAAAGGGATAAGGAAAGCAAAGCTAAATCAGATCATCCAGCAAGGAACATAGAAAGAAGTGTTTTGTGTGTATGTGTCTATGCATGTGTCTGTGGGTGTACAGGACAACAAACCAAACCCAAAAAACATATCACTAAATGTATAACACTTTTACCTAGGGATCTATATCTCACATGAGCCTAAATAGTTAATCATGTGATTTTAGTTTGGGAGAAAAAAAGTGTCCTGATTGCTAGGATCAAACAACCACATGCCCCACCATGCCCAGGCATTTTTAGAACAGAGTTTCAAATGATTGATGTTAGGCTGTCCTTTAAAATTGTGCGGTGGTGAGTACCTGCTGTCTCTTGCAGTGATGAATGACAAGTACCATTCATGGCACTTGGTAGAACTATCAGTTTTGTAGGGGTAGGCATTTGGCACAGTGGGCCAAGCTACTGCACCAAACACTTGTGCCCATGTCCGAGTTAGCAGTTTGAATCCAGATTCCTCTTTGCTTTCAGTATAACTTCCTGTAAGGAGCCTAGGAGGCGAAGGATGAAGACGTAAGTACTTGAGCTCTGGACACTTACCTAGGAGGCTTGGCGGGAGTTCTAGGGTCCTGGTCTCGGCCTAATCTAACCCTGGACATTGTGGGGAGCAAATGACCTGTTTTAGGATCTCTTTCTGTGTGTCTTTCTGCCTTTGAAATAAATACATAAATAAATCTTAAAAATACAAATTCCCTTGCTGTATTCTGACCTACAGTTGAAGACTTCAGAGAATAGTGCGTGAGAATTTATTTTAATGAGCATCTAGTAGTTCATGGTGAGATAAATTTGGAACCATAGCTGGAGTAGTTAGCATATAAAGAAGGAAGAGTCTTTCAGTAAGTAGGTAGTTTGATATAGTTAGGATTACATGTGGATATAAGTTTAGATATAGACTACTGTAAAATTTGTTTAGTTGCTATAAAGTACCAGAAAATATTTAAGTGGCAAAACTGGAGATAATGACAGATAAACCTCTCATTTTGAGAAATATTTCTTAATATCAATGCATTTTGTTATCTTTTTCTGTTACTGTGCTTATAGAAGGACATTTAACAATCTGAGAAATTATTTCCCCAGAACTTTAAAAAATGCTGTGCCGAGAGGCTAAGTAGCTTGTGCAAGCAGTCAGTGGTTTAACAGGGACCTGAACAGAGGCAGCCCAAGCTCTGCAAGCCTGTGTCCCTGCTCACTTGCCATGTGGTCCCAGAAAACACGCCTTTGATTTATTTTTATAATAATAATCTAAAAATGTGATTGCTGAGGCATCTTGTCAATCAATTTAATTAATTAAATTAATTTTAGTTTCTCTCATTTAGCCTTTCTCTTAAAAATGGAGAGACAGACATCGATCTGATAGGTATTTTGCTTTAATTTGGAGATTGTATGAAACAGGAATTTAAATATAGCTATCTGGTGGGTTTCCTCATTTCTTTGCTACTTCCTCTCTCTCTCTCTCCATCTTCCCTTCATCCACTAGTTTTGCTACCACCAAGAACTATTTCACTAAATTTTTCCCAGTAACAACAGAGTGTGCAACAGTGGGGAAGTAAAGAGCCAGGACAGTTTTTTGGAGGTAGAATGGATAGGACTTGGAATTGGATTGGGGGCAAAAAGAAATAGCCCAAAATACTGTTAGGCGTGCAATGGCAGGAACCCTTCCAGTTTTCTAAAACTGAATTGGAGCCCCTTCTCTCCCCGATGACAGAATAATTAAGTTACACAATTTCAGTTGAGTTGAGTTCCAATTTGGGGATGTCCAGTTGCCCCACTTGTCATTGCTCATCAGCATCTCCCTGGCTGCCACCTGGGGCTTCCGGCTTGTGGGTGTCCGTCTGGTTTCTGATGTCTTTGGGTCGCTGGCTCTCCCTCTTAGCTGACTTTCGCATCCGCGTAGGGAAACGGTAGGGGGTAGGACTGTGCTTCTGTTCAGCTTTCTCTTGGAATAGACTTGGGTTCTTACGTGACCAGTTCCAGGTTGCTCAAATGCTTTTCCTCTATGGCATTGTACCCTGGGTAGATAATTAAATCCCCTAAACATATTTGAGCATCTTATTACCTGCATCCACTACCAATCTAAGGTGTAGGTCATGACATATATATATAGAGAGAGATATTGATATATCGATATATAGATATAGCCTTCTGCTGGTTTGAAGTTCCTCACAGTCTCCCCTAGGCTAGGGTTGAAAATGGAAAAAGTCTTTTCTTTCTGTTGTTCTCATTTTGGAAATATTTTAGGCTGTGAGTCCCTTAAGGATTAGTGTTGGAGACTTGAAGAAACTTTCCTTCTCATAAAGTCTGATCAGGGAAGTCTCAAAAGGCCACAGCTCAGAGTGATGACACTGTTAGAGGATTCGACTGTTCACTGTTCAAAAAGCAAGAGTTTGAGTCTCCCCCCTCCTCTTCTGTGTTGGGCTTTGACGGATCCCTCCAAGGCAAGGCATGCTTCTGGTTGGAGAAGGGTTGCATGAGGTACTGCCTCCAGACTTTGTTTAGCTCCATTTGGTTAGCTAACTGAAGATGTAACTGTCATTTAAGAAATGGAATGTGGAGATGTGTGAATTATTATGACACTGTCCGTAGTGTCAATGGACAGGCACTCTCTAGAGGGCAAATTACTCGTATACCTCAAAATTACATATATGAATATTTGACTCAATATCCTAGGAATTTCTCTAAGAAAATACTCTGTGCATAAAGAAATAGTTACTGCTGAATCAACTAGAATTTTAGGAAATTAGTTCAAATACTCAGCCATGATGGATATTGTTAATACTGCGGCTTATAAATAAACATGTAATGGAATATTATATGAGTCGATGAAAGTAATGATGGCATGAGAGATGTTCCTAGTAGATTTATTAAATGAGAATGAGGCTACAAAACCTCGTGCATAGAATGGTCCCTTTTTTTTGTAAGTAAGGTACATGTGACAACCTTATACACATATAAGAGTCCTTGCATCTGTCTTCCTACATGCCAGATTTCGAGGGATGTAATGATTATCCATGGGCAACAATATTGTGGATCATTTCTTTCTTATGGCTCTTTGTATTGTCTGCATAGTCCCGTTCATGTCATGCTGCTGCTATCAGAAAAGGAATTTTGAATTATCTTTTTTAAAAAAGATTTATTTGTTTTTAATAGAAAGATTCACAGAGAGGAGGAAAGACAGAGAGGAAGGACTCTGTACACTGGTTTGCTTCCCAGGTAGCTGCAATGGCTGCAGCTGAGCTGATCTGAAGCCAGGAGCCAGGAGTTTCCTCCAAGTCTCCCACACGGGTGCAGGGTCCGAAGGCTTTGGGCCATCCTTGACTGCTTTTCCAGGCCACAAGCAGGCAGCTGAAAGGAAAGTGGGGCCTCTGGGATATGAACCAGTGCCCGTATGGAATCTTGGCCTGTGCAAGGCGAGCATTTAGCTGCTGGGCTACTGAGCTGGGCCCACAAATTACAGATATAATATATTATGTTATATATAATTATATAATTATGCATAATATATTTATATTATCATATATAAGTATATATTATGCACAATATCTTTTATATATTATATTATGCATAATATAAAATATAAGTATGTATATATTGTGTAATATATTATATAATATATTATATATATTTTTTAATGTAAGACAGATAGTTGGGAGAAAAGATTTTTCCTGTTAGAATTGATATTTCAGCACCCTTGAAACTACCTTTTTCAACTGACTGGCAGATCAGGCTGTGACTCCTTTCCTGAAGTGTAAGACAGAAGTGATATTTGTTAAAAAAAAAATCTACGTAAGAAGAATTGCTGTATTTAGAGAATACATTCATTTAGTGGTTTAATATTAGAGGAAGATAGAAGATCCACAGAATCTATTGCTCAAAGGTGTTCTGTATATGGCTAGTCTTGTTTCATTATAAATCCGTTGCTATGGGGATGAAATACTGAAATCATAAATTTGCACCATTCTGCTCTCTCATGTTATGCTTTCAAGTTCAGAGTGAGTTCATGGCAAAAAAAAGCTAAAGCGTATCAAAAGAAGTAGCTATTGGAAGGAAATGACCTAAATGCTTACATTTAAACCTGTCAAATGTGTTTAGTTTATGTCATAAACATCGATATGTAATTTTCACGCATATCATACATACGGCTTGTTTCAAATTTAATCTTGAAACCGTTTTAGACAATTTGAGTCCTGGGTTGATTTTGCTGGCACAGCTGCTTAGGTATTAAGGGTATAGCCAGAATTCTACAATTCAACCTTGTTACGGTTTCTCAGATGATTGTATTGATTGTGTTTTACCAGGACCTATGTCTTCTGCCCAAAAGAAAAAGATTGAGAATATATTTGTGCTTCGTCTAACAGGAATACTCCTTTTGTGTTTCATTTTTTTGGTCTTCAGTACATGTTCCATTGCTGGAAAATTCATGTTCGTCATCTGATTAGACCACTGATGCTAGAGTGTATCCCACCAATATACCAATGAAGTGATATTTTCTTTTCAGTAAATATAAGGTGCAGTTGTTTAGTAGACGGGTGTTACAATGAGTAGTAGCCTCAAGTGCAAATGACTATGGGTCCACATAGATTGTACGATCTGGGCTACTTAGAAACATGAGTGAGTGGTGGGGCATCTGGTGCAAGGAACATCACCCTTGGAGTGTCTTTAAAGCAGTGTGTGGGCTAAGCAAAATGCATGCTGGCCCAAATACCCAGCTTCTAGTCATCGGGGAAAAATGTTTTAGTTGTCTAAATCATAAATCATACAATTTGGGGACATGTAAATAATCTTGGAGGTCTTCTAATAGATTCTGGGGCAGCTGCCTAGGTTTTCAGAGCTGGTATATATTTGGACTATAACTGGTATACCAACCAGTTTGACCACCAATGTCTAATGTGACCTAATTTCTAACAATAAAACAGATTCAGGGATTGAATGTCTTAACAGGTCTCTTGGGTAAGAGATGGGTCTGGGGCTTGAAAGCAAAATTTTATGTACTCTTTCTCTTCCTGTACTGTTTACAGAGCAGTGCTGTCCCTCTAACTGTCCCTCGGGCACTTTGCCTTGATGCAATACAGAAGCAGTCTGTGACTATGTATAAAGCAGTGAGGTGTTGTAGTCCAATGTCTAGGAACCAGAAGACCTGGGATCTCACCATGGGTCTGTTTGATTAACCAGGTGACTGCAGTCAGATCATCAAAAACAGTCAGAGGCAGAGCTCAGGCCTGCCCCCAGGACTGCAGATTTCCTGCTCAGAGGTCTAGCTCTGGTTTCAAAGCACAGATGATCTCCTAAGTTTAGTGTAAGGGTTTTAGTCCATTACCTAACACACTCTTTTAGCAGTTGAACATAGGTAGAGAGCCTTAAGAGAACTGACAGAGTGACCCTTTCTCCTGCCATCTCTTTTCTTCTTGATGGATTGTGTGCGAGCTGGCATGGACCTCATTGTGCTTTGCTGTGTTTGTGGTGGCACGGGGCTGGGAATGCCATGGTCACCTCAAGTATTAATACATTTCCGGATGCCAATGCTGTTATAAAGTGCCCTTCATGCTAAGCTTGGAAAAGCACAGGCACTCTTTTGTTTTAGCGTTTGTTATTTGTGTTCTGTGGTTAAACATCATGTGTTCTCCCTGCAAAAATGTATAGTGCATATTCATTGCAAGGAATTATGCGGAGCTTTCCCCCTCCTCTCATACATTGTGTTTTTTTTTTGTGAGAACCAGCTGGTGTTTGAAGAGCTAAGTTCCAGAAATATAAAGCAAGGGCAGCTATGGAGTATGGGCAAAAGGTCTGAAAACGTGAGAACCCAGTCTGGCAAGGAGACCTTGGCCTGTGTGGAGAGATCAGTGGGAATTTAAGCAGGGCCGGAAAAACTGTCATTATCTGGAAAAGGGTTCATTGTCAGATGTTAGGAAGACAGTTTAAGGGAAAAAAGTCCTAAGTAAATAGAATTGCAGCCAGCACTTTCATGAACTTCACCCTTCTTTGGAATGTTTTCATTCTCTGGGGGGAAAACAGAGATTGAGTCATTTATACAGCAAGTGAGGACTTAACTTAAAAGGAAACCTCAGGAGATCTTTCCACCATAGTACTCTCTAAAGACTCAATCGATGGGCTCTGCAGGGCTGTCAGAGGACTGCCAATTTCTAAGGAACGTGTCTCTCTGACATTCTTCATGCCATAGCACCATGTGTTTTAGGGATGCAGTGGGACATGTCATGACATGGCTATCTGCTGAAGATACCCCACCCTCCTACTTGAAACAAGAATTTTTATGGCTGTTCCACCTCCATCCCCCGCCTCCCCTACATTTCACACGTGGCACTCTGACTTGATGAATAGTATTATTTTTGGATTCTGCAAAGTGCGTGCTAAGTCTATGTTATCATCCCTGGGGCCAGGGCCATGTGACCTGTGGGTTTCTAAATGTGGCCTGTGATTTTGGTCCTGGACAGCATAAGCAGAAGATAGGTAACATTTTGGGTTTTGTTCTTTGTTTTAAAATTTAGAATGCAAACAATTAAGACTGCAGCTTTAAATAATCAGCAGGCTGAGGACTAAGTTATTTTGGGATAGAGGTCATTTTCTGAGGAGCTTCAGTGTAAAATCCTGTCTTTCGGTGAAGGCAAAATTATTTATTCGAAAGACAGTGGCAGAAAGAGAGGGAGAGAAGAAGACAAGCACATCTTTTCTCTGTTTCTTTCCCCCAAAAGGTAAGACCATTGGTGCTAGGCCAGGCAGAACTTCATCTTGGTCTTCCAAAAGGTGGTAGAGGTCCAAGTTCTTGGAATATTCTTCACTACCTTCCCAGCTACCTCAGCAGGGAGCTGGATCAGAAGGAGAGCAGCTGGGACTCGAACTGGCACTGTAGTTTGGGATACCACCACGACAGGTGGACCTTTAATCCACTGTACCATGATGCCAATCCCCTACAAAGAATCATTTTAATCAATGTTTTCTATATCGTAGGACCCTATGGGAGAACCATTTAATTTTCCAGTAAGATAAAACATCTGTTATCTGGTCTGTCTCCCATTGCCAATTCCTTCTGGATGCTATTTATGACAGAAAATGTTAGGGGTAGTTTGGGGACACTAAGGAACGTGTCTCTCTGACATTCTTCATGCCATAGCACCATGTGTTTTAGGGATGGAGAGGGACATGTCATGACATGGTTATCTGCTGTAGGCTTTATGCAAGGGTGACCTGCTGAGTAGCTTCTTGGTTGTCCTTGAAGCTTCAATTGTCACTGAAGCTTGCCCCATGTTGATTCAAAGCTAGTCACCTCCCCCCCTCCACAGGGCAAGGGAGGAGGTCCTTGGAAAGAAATCGCTCTTCCTTTAAAGTCATCATCTTTGCATTTTGAAGGGAACAGTTAAATACCACTTCTAAGGGTGTTTCATCAGCAGGCGAGCTTCCTCTCACACAGCAGAGATGGATGGGCTGATGTAGGGTAGGGTTGTTCAGCTCATTAGAACTAGAGCATGGGGAGAATTTCCATTTGCAAGAAACCTGGGCACTTCAGTGTCTCTAGTTCTTTCTCAGATTTATTCCACTGTCTGAGTTGCTGAATACAAGTTTTCCTTAAATTATTCCACTACAGTAATTATGCCAATTCAGTTAGTACTAATAATTATAGTATCCAGTTTTATGAAGCATGTGTTTTGGAGCCATTATTGTACAGTGGGTTGAGCCATCACCTTCAATGTCAGCATTCCATATTGGAATCTCAGTTTGAATCCTGGCTACCCCACTTCCTGTTCAACTCCCTACTAAAATGCCTGAGAAATCAGCAGGGGATGACCCCAGTTCTTGGGCTTCTACCACTCTTAAGGAAGTGGTAGAACACAACACAAGGGCTCCTTCTGTTGACCTGACCTGACTCTGGCCATTGTGACCATTTGGGAATAGCTCAGTGGGAAGAGGTATATATTTATCCCTCTCTGTAATTTTGCCTTCAAATAAATAAATTAACATTGAAAATGTTTCTTGCAGGACTGTTGTTTTTATCCAGATCATATTACATTGTATTTCACATTAACAAACATATTTTATATACTTACTTAGCATGAATTCCTATAAGATTTTATCAATCGTTTTTAGTTTTTCACTTTCCATTATCTAGCAGTATTGCCTGACCTGGTAGGCTCCAAAGTCCTTAAAGCTCTGACCGCCCTATCTACAGAATCTATCAAGTTTTCCTATTGATCATGGGTACTGTGGTGTAGTGGATAAAGCCGCTACTTGGGATGTTGGTACCCCATATGTGCACCAATTCATGTCCCAGCTGATCCATTTCCCATCCAGCTCTCTACATATAGCTTGGGAAAAGCAGCTAAGATGGCTCAAGAGTTTGGGCCCCTGCTACCAATATGTGAGTCCCTGAAGAGGGTAATGGCTTTGGTCTGACCCAGCCCTGGCAATTGCAGCCATCTGGGGGAGTGAACCAGCAGATGGACAATCTTTCTGTAACTCTGCCTTTCAAATAAATAAATGCATTTAAAAAAGTGATTTCCTAGTTCAAACCTAGCTCCCGATGGTGATTTAATTTTTAGGTCATTCATGATGTACATGATGATTCTGCTTTCATTATGTTTACCCTTCGACTTTCTGTAAGTTGGACATTTAAGAGGATGTCTGTATTAGAGAATTATCTAGCTTGCTTACTAAAACTGGATATCATGCCATATTCTGTTTGAACAGTGATGAAATGATTTTACCTCTAGGCCAGTCTCTTGTTCGAGTTAATAGGTATGCTCTGTACACTTTGTGATTCACTTTTCCCCTCTCCTTTAAGAAAAGCAAAGGAAAATTTATTTGGACAAAACGGAAGTGTTTCCAATAGCTTGGTAGACTGTGAAAGAAAACAGCAGCAGGAGCTGAATTCCGTTGTAGATGAGACTGTAACAGGAGAATATGCCTTAATCATCAATGGCCACAGTCTGGTGAGTTTGCTTAAGGCTTTTGTCCTTCCTTTCTTTCACCCCAATCATCATCTCTTTTGTGCTGTCCTAATGAGACCGCCTTTTGTGTTTTCCAAATAAATGACACTAGAAGAAATAGGGCATCCATGATGATTTCCTGTTTGCAGAGGAAAGGAAACTTCTAATATATGTTTCATACAATATTATTTGAACAAACACAGTGAAAAGGAGGCTGGAAAAGTACTGAATTCACAGAATATCAATCTTGTCTAAATGACTCTAGACCGCTTAGCCTTGTTATTTAAGTGCTTGTTTAAGTGGGAGTGTCACAGTTTACTGTTATTTAATTAAAATAATGCGACTGGATGGATCTATTGTAATTATTGCTCTTGCTAATGTTTGTCATTTGCAGAGCACAACTTGACCTTCATACAATTACCACACCAAATTATTGCCATTAAGATACCTTTGCTGTTTTTTTTCTCAATAGCAGCATTTAAAGTAATGCCAAACAATTTGCTTTGATTAGGAAATCTGTTTTTTGTCATAATAGAATAAACTTGCATTGTGCTTTTAATGTAGTTCAGGTTCCAAATCTTGAACAAATATCAAAATGCTCTTCTGAGTTTCTAGTTTAGAATACAAAAGGGCCAATTGCACTCCAGTGAAGCTATCATTTATATGCACAAAGAACTAATCTCACATCTTTCTCTGGCTTTGATGATCGTTTTTCACTTTGGAGTTTGGAAAATAAATGTTGTATCTTCTTGTAGACAGTTTCTTAGAGGACAAAAGAAGTTGGATAGGAGTGTATTGTCTTTTTCCCTGTGTGATCATCTGTCTGTTAGCTCTTAGTGCTTAGAGCATTATCCAGCTGGATTCCAGACGTAATGATGTGTTGCCTTCTACACCATGGAAAGTTACAGAGCTCAGCTGCAGGCCAAGCTCTGTTGAAAGTTTGTCCAGATGACACGAACTTCTCCCTCACAGAGATGAACAGCAGCTGTCAGCCATTGAGGCTGTCAGGTGGGCCTTCGAGCTGGTGGCTCAGGGGCCACAAGTACGGACAGGGTCCCTGATGAGTTGGACTTTGGTTAATCTGCAAGCTCAGGAAAGCCAATGAGTGATGAGGTTAGTGTGCTCTGGTAACAACTTACTTGTCTATGAGTTTCGTAAAAGAAAGCTAAGATAGATGTTCTTTGAGGGCCCCCTCAGCTTCTAAGCCTCAAGCTCACAAACCAAGAAATGTCCTTTTGAACTCTATGCTTGGTATATGCTTGCAATGAAAGAACCTCAACTGAACTTGAACTGTGGCAATGCAGCAAGTGGAGGAATCCACCATGGGGGAAAGGTTGGGGGAGGGGTAGGGGGAATCCCAGTGCCTAAAAAACCGTGTCACATAATGCAATGTAATTTAAAAAAAATTAAAAAATAAATAAAAGATGTATTTAGGGAGAATTGGCCATGTAGTTGCTAAAATGGTCAGAAGTTGTTTTCAGTTTAATTTCAAATCCTGATTCACATTTACTAAATCCAGAATGTAACTGGGCTTTTGCCCTGTAGGTGTTAGTCTAGGTTTCTTACTGATCATAATGAGAGAAAAGGGGGTCATTCTGAGAAAGACCCACAGTCTCATGCTGCCTTTTCTGGAAGAGGCAGTGCTACCTGAGAATGCCACATTACAGCTTTCTCTAGGCATTACAGGCTTGGATATGAGAATTTTCTCTACCCAAGTTATATTTTTATATTCAACCACCCATCTATATATACCACTAACATTTATTAAGCCTGCCGAGAACATTGCTAGAATATGAGAAAAAGGATGTAAATTGTGCATGATTCTTAAGAATTATTGTCTAGCAGGAGAGGGAATCATATAATATGACCCAAAAATGGAATTAATATAGTGCCTTGAGCATAGAGGCAGACACACTTAGTTCCGTGTGGAAAATCAGGGAAGACCTCTTGGAGGAATTATTTTCAAGTAGCAGTGACAGCAACTATAAAGGAGCAGAACTAAGAAAGAAACCATTAAGACATGGGAAACAAGCAATTGGAACAAGGAAAATAAAGTTTAAAAATAAAGGTGATAGTAGAAAGGGCTCAAATATGATGGGCTATGAGTCTCTTGCTGAAAATTCACTCAACAATACTGTTTTTTCCTCATACTGTGTTTCTTAAAGAATGTGAAATGAAATAATTTACAGACAAGTAATTGTAGTTTCTTGGCATTTCACAGAACACTTTTGTGCTCATATCTGAACCAACATGGCATGGTTGCAGGACTTGTCTGAATCAGGGTTGTATGCAACCCTTTGGCCAGGCCTTGGCTTTGGTCACTATGTCTTACAAGGGCCAATGCCCAGATCCCCTCCCATTTATCTTGCCCGCATGCTAACGACCACCACAATAAATATTAACTACACAAAACAATACTGCCAAGGAAGCAAAAAGCCCATCACTATCGTAGAGGTTCGCTCTATACATGCTGAGGGGGCAGACACATTCTGTCTTCTGCTTTCACTAATCTTACTGGTTTCTTGATCTTTCTCCAACATTTCACTATATCTCACCAAAGAAGTATAATAAAGAGTGAAAGAGGATATTTGCAAGGGCAATGTCTTTTCATTTTCCTTTTAAAATTTCTGGGTACACAGTGTAAGTTCACTGGGAAGTTCATTCTGGTAGTTTTTGTTGCTTGTGTGACCTTGAATCAACCAGGACCTGTTGAAGTAAGTGAGAGAAATTGGTGAGCAAATAAGACATTTTCTTCCTGAATTATCTCTCATTTCCTGTTCTTTTTGCATTTTTAAAAACTAACCCAGGCCCATGCCCTAGAAAGTGATGTCAAGAATGATCTGCTAGAGCTCGCCTGCATGTGTAAGACTGTGGTTTGCTGCCGAGTCACCCCACTGCAGAAAGCCCAAGTAGTAGAGCTGGTGAAGACACACAGAAATGCTGTCACTCTGGCCATCGGCGATGGAGCCAATGATGTCAGCATGATTAAAAGTAAGGGGAAATTCGCTTAATGGAGCAGGTTGTGTTCATGGAATGGTCTGTTTGAGCATTTGCCACTGTATAATACAGCATGCATGAAAATGTCATTTTGATGGTGAGTCTAAACAGGATAATATCTGGGTCCAGGGATTCCATCATTAACATCTATCTTTAATTAAAACATCTATCTTTAATTAAATCATGTATTTTGGTGAGGAAATGACACTGGTTGCTTTATACTGTGTGGTGAGATGGGTAACTACAGTGTGGATGAAGGAACACCAGATCTCTATTTGTAATAAGGGGGTTTAGCCACATCTTGAATACTTAGAAATACGTGGGCAAGTTCTTGAACTCCTTATTAACAAAACTGGGATATACATCTGTCATGTTTCATGAGATAATATGTGTGAAAACTTCTCATTTGTACAGCTGTAAGGTTTCCATAAATCAATGGCATAAAAGAGAAACAATGATCTCCCCCCGAAGAGCTGTGTTTTTGTTATGGGAATGAGATGTTCCTTCTTCCCTTTGTAGGTGCTCACATTGGTGTTGGCATCAGTGGACAAGAAGGCTTACAGGCGGTCTTAGCCAGCGACTATTCCTTTGCACAGTTCAGATACCTCCAAAGGCTCCTGCTTGTTCATGGAAGATGGTCCTATTTACGAATGTGCAAATTCTTGTATTATTTCTTCTATAAGAATTTTGCATTCACACTCGTGCATTTCTGGTTTGGTTTCTTCTGTGGTTTCTCAGCCCAGGTTGGTAAAAAGCATTTTTGTGGATATTTACTATTTTTATGGTTACTTATTCTTTATGGCTACTGACTAATCAATACAAAACATTTCTCTACAACTGAGGCAAGTGACACTGTTGTGCGATTGATAACTAACTTGAGCTTTGAATCCTAGAAAAATATGTATTTAGCTAATTTCTTAGACGTAGTCAGTCAGTTCTGGCTGTTCATGAGTATGTGTTATTTTTATTTTGTTCTGTTTTGTTAGCTTTTATTGGCCTGTTTCGGTATAATGACAGGTAAGCTTGACGTACAGGTTTCATTTAGAACAGATGTCTGAGAAACACAAGAGGTATTGGGAGGTGTTAACTTACCTAACACACTAAACATGTTGGGCTTACAGTGTGGTGTTAGTCAGGAAGAAGCAACTGATACCCTGACATCAAAGCTGTTTTGACAGCAGGTTCAGCTATAAGTTGATCTAAAGATAAAGCTGGTAAAAGTAAGAAAAATGAGCAAATTAACAAGTTAGGATTCTATATTTTATATCTGTTAATATCCATTTTAAAAGATAGATATTTATCCCCTTATCTTGGATATCAGGAAAGTTTTGACTGCAGGTACCAACTAGGAAATATATGATCTTTGTGTTTATTTAAACTTATGAATACAAAATAGTTTTTAGTGAAAATTTGAATATGGCTATGATATTCGTACTTTGGACACCACCATCAAGAAAGAGAAAATATTGTGCTGCAGAATGAAATGAGAACTATCCTTCTTACAGATATTTCTTCAATTGCTCTTAGTTCATTTTGAGTTTTATCAATGACATTGGTTTTGATGATAGCTTCATGAAACTATTTTTCAACTACCTTACTCAAGAAAAGATTGAGAATAAGTTAAATTTTGCTATTTTATATCATTTTAAGGTTCCAAGAAGGATTGGTGGATCCTTTTTCATGAGAAAAATATGTTGTGTTCATTTTCCCTTCTTCTGGGAAGCTGAGATTTCTTAAAGTGTGACACACCTGTATCCATTCCCAATTTTTCACTTTTAAGGATAATATTCCCAGAATGAAAAGTTGACTAGGAATAAAAAAATAACAAAAATTTACTAGGTTATTATTTTTGCTTTTTTGGTATTCTTTTGACAGTTGAAGCAAAGCAGAATCTTTTTTTTTTTTCTCTCAGAAATAGAAATCTTAGTTCTGCTTCAAGGCAGGCATGGGATGAGACTGTTTATATGTCCACAATTCTTTTTTTCCCTCAGAAAAATGACAAGAACAGGGACGTGACCTAAGTCTTCCTCACCTGGTGACTTGCCCTCCATATAATGCAAGGTTGTTTGCTGAGGAGTGTTTCTGTGAGAGATTTCATTTTTAAAATACTGAAGTTTGGCCTGAAGAGCGACTCTCAGCACTCTAAAGGGATAGCTTGACCTTGGAGACCTCTTAGGACCCAGAGAAGTGGTTAGTAGTATTTGCAGACACACCAAGCTTAAGCAAGCAGGTTCATTGTCATATTGTCTTTGGTTTTCATAGCGTTAACGTGAAACTGAACGTACGTTCAATGATTTCTCACCTCTACACTGAGGTTGTTTTTTGCCTTGCATTTGGGATCTGATAAAACTGAGCAATCAGGTGTTCAGTAACTAGGTTTTCAGTCCTTTCCCTGATATATACACTCTAGAAGAGAATAGCAAGGGAGAACAATAAATTGCTCTAAAGGCATGAGAATTTGAGGCTTGAACCCAGATATAAAACACTTCATCTGACTATGATCAGCTCTCCAAAATGTTTCATTCTGTGTTTATTTTCTGAGTGTCTCACTGCTATTTTATTGACTTTTACATTAGAAATTCTATTTAATCAGACAGTTTTTATTTTGGATCCTCTGTCCATGCTGGTTGAACCTCTGCATTTATGCCTTTGCTGGTGAGTTGGGGATGACCAGTGTTATTGAATGTTGGTATGCAAGGGAATCACCTGGCTCTCTCGTTGAGCACCATCCACAGCGTGGCTGATTCAATGAGCTTGAGGTAGAGATCAATAGTTGGCATTTACTTGGATGCTTTAAAAAATGCATTTATTTTCAATTTACTTAACAAACAGGAGTCTCCCACCCATTGTTTTGTTTCCCAAATGTGTCCATATCAGCTGAGGTAGGTTCTGGCCAGAACCAGGGTCTTAATCCCTGTTCGGGTCTCCTGGGTGGCTGGCATGGACCCAGGTACTTGAGCCATCACCTGCTGCCTCCAAGGTAGATGTTAGCAGGAAACTGGGACTGGAAGGGGAACTAGGACTTGATCCTGGAATTCTACTAGGAATGGGATGTGGTTATCCTAAGAAGTGTCTTAACCCTTTGTGCAAAATGGCCATCCCAATATTTTTAAATTGTGGCAAAACATAAAATACAACATAACTTTGACTATTTTCAGTGTACAGTTTAGTAGTGTGAAGTTTGTTTATACTGTTGTGCCCAGATATCAGGAATTTGTGGTTCTGCAAAACTGAAACTTTTCCATTAAAGAGAACAGCTCACCATTTGTCCCTCTCTCCAATCCATGACAGCTACTATTTTGCTCTGTCTCTGTGTGCCTTGCCATATTGGAGATCTTCTATAAGAGGAATCCTAGCGTGTCTTTTTGATAGTTATTTCACTAACAGTATCTTCAGAGTTCACCCATGTTGTCTCATGTCTGAAAGGATTTTCCTTCTTTGTAAGGCCGAACGGTATCATAGGTACACACTGCATTTTGTTTAGCTTTTCATCTACTGGTGGACCTTTGGACTGCTCCTCCTCTTGACCTATGTTAACTTTTTGCTGGACATTTTCCAACTAAGATTTTACTAGAGTTCCACTGTCTAATAGATTATATTTTCCCTATACCCCAAATTTCCCTTGAAATTCACAGTTCACATTAGTCAAAGGCTGAAAGTCCAAATATAAAGAAACCCTACTCCAGAAAGCATATTTTATGGCTTTTTCAATTCCCCAAAGACATCGCTCACCTGAGCTCTCCTTCCCTAGGGAGGTTTTGACTTCAGATAGCGAATGTCCGTGAGGATTGCTTTACTGTGCAGAAGTCCAGGAAAGGTGTCTTCTCTCTCTCCTTTTGCTAGTGTAGAACTGGCAGAGGCAGACTTGCTGATAGTCTCTTTCTTCCTGAAGATTTGTTTCTGCACTATTCCTTCAATGAGGGTAGAGCTGTTTGCTACTTCACTTTGTGGGAATAATAGATTCCGTGTTTGGCCAAACTTGGTATCTCCAATGGCATCTTTTCTTGTCAGTGGTGTTTCAGTTGTTTAGTCACTGCTTAGGACATTCCATATCAGGTGCCTTTGTGTGAATCCTGGCTCCATTTCTGACTCCAGCTGGTAGTGCATACCTTGGAAGGCAACAAGGGGTGGCATAAGTACTTGGGTATCTACCACCTAAGTGGGAGAACAAGGGCATCTGGGGAGATCTCTTTCTCTGTCTCTCTGCCTTCAAAAGAAATCTTTTTTAAAAAAATGATTGTGTTGTACAGTCAGTGGGACTTGATGTTATTTCCCACAGTTGTCTGGCGTGGAACTGTTTCTTTCCAAACTACACACATAATATTCCATACCGTAGCTGTCATATAGAATCTACTTTGGAAGTGCTAGAATAGCTGTCTCCACAGCAACAGTTTAAAAATTTGACATTGCCTTGTTATTTATCCCTGTTGTAACGTTTTGAAAGCAGTAAGATGAGTGAAGAATAGAAAGATGCTAAGAATACTGTCCCCATAGGAACAGTCTGTTTATATCTCTTTCAAAAGTTTCCATTTTCTTAACCAACTCTTGTCTAAGGAACAAAATAACTGTTTCATATAACAAAGAATTTACATTTTAAAGGCATACTTATTTAATTGAAATGCAAAGTGACAGAGAAATAAAGAGGGAGACAGACAAACATATGGAGAGGTATCTTTCATTGACTGAATTACTCCCTAAATTCTCACAACAGATAGGGCGAGGCCAGGCTAAAGTCAGGAGCCAGAAACTCCATTTAATGTCTTCTTTTTTTTTTCTCAATACAATATCCATAATTGCAGTTTGTTTATTTTAATAATCTCACTTAGTTGATTGGGTGCAAAGGGTCAAGGGCTACAGGAAAATGGGTATAACACAATTGTTTCCACTAATATCATCACCTTTTCCTTCTGTATCTGGTGTCAGGGGAGAAACATAGAAGCCCCACCCAGCCTCCCACCCATCCCAGGTCCCATCTAATGTCTTCTTACGTGGATGGCAGCATGTGGGCCATTGTCTGCTGTCTTCTCAGGCTCACTAACAGGAAGCTGGTTTGGGAACAGAGTAGCAGGGACTCAACTGGGTCTTTGCTATAGGATGCCAGTGTTGGTGCAGGAGCTTAAGCCACTGTGCCATAATGATAGGCCCAGGAATTTATACTTAGAGATAAAGCTCTTATTCCTCTACTATCCTGAAAGCATTTTTCAGATTATAAAAATTTCCATATGTGATTATATCTCAACTTTTACATAATTGAGACCATGTATTGTACTTTCTTTGTTTAAAAAAAAAAACTTAGATTTTGAGAGCCTTTCTTGCTTTACATACTTTTAAGATGCTATTTTCCTTAATTAAATGTATTATAAATTATTCTATAAACATTTAGTACATCATCTTTAATTCCTTCCTCCCTCCTTGCTCTTAGTTGCATGACATCATCTAATTGCTTGCTAATTTGGAAAGAAAAGCTAAAATGATGGATATGATGGGTCCCTATTTGCCTGAAGACGTTATTTTTTTTCCTTAAGACTTATTTGAAATTCACAGTTACACAGAAAATTTTGGTGGGGGAGGGGGCGCATCAGAGGGAGAGACAAAGACCTTGTATCCACTGGTTTACTCCCCGGATGGACACATGGCAAGGACTAGGTCAGGCTGAAGCCACATGAAAAGAACTGTATCCAGGCCTCGCATGTGGGTGGCAAGGGCCCAGTCACTTGGACCATATCCAACTGCTTTTCCCAGG